CAAAGTAAGCTTAAAATCTGGGGGATGTAAATGTAATGTTGAAGGCAAAGGAAGTACCATCATGTAACAAAAGGAAGTGCCCCCAAAATTCATAGAATACTGATATTGTTGTATGTTGTGTTTGCACTGTCTGTTTTTGATAAGGCCAACTGGCTAATCAATAAAAATTGTTGTTGTTGTTAACTATATAAATAAAATATGTTAGTTTGTGGGATTAATATAACTCAAAAACCACTGGACGAATTGACACCAAATTTGAACACAATACACTTATCAGGCCAATGAGTGACCATCAGTCATAAAACACTGAAAAATACAACAGAAGAGAATAGAAATCCAAAAAATAAAAAATACATTACGATGCTTACGCAAAACTACATATATATATATATATGCAAACACACATATATACACATATACACACAAAACATATATACACAGATTGGGCCACAGCAACGCCTAAAAAATTGGCTGAAAAACTAGGCTTATACTCGAGTGAATACAATACATAACGTTACCATGTATTGAACTGCTTTTTCTGTTGATTTGTTGTGAAACACGATGTTTTGGTTCTTAATTTGTAAAACCGTAATGTAATTTGATGTTTCATAGGCTTTTCCTTAATCCCTCCATATTATCCAACATTTTCACTTATCCCACGTTCTGCCGGCCCGTTTATGTTGGCTCAGCGAGACTCTACTATAACTCAATCCAACACACTGATAATCGCCAGGGTGAAAATTGGTGACCCATTTGTCAAACTAAAACCATGTTTGGATCTCGAATTTTCTACCCAGAACAGACACTGCCTCCAGGCAGAATACTGTAATTTGCATATATATATATATATATATATATATATATATACACACACTTTATTTATATACCGCTTTTCTCAGCCCTCAGGCGACTCAAAGCGGTGAACAACATTGATACAAAACATCACGAGACAAGTATAGGGCAATTAAAAACAATTGTAACATAAATCATTAAACATCAGTATAACAATCATTAGCGCCTCAACAGTAAAATCAGAATCCAGTCTCATCATCCATTATTCCGTATTCCTATGTTCAATTACACTGTTTAATCAAATGCATGTTCGAACAGCCAGGTCTTCACTTTCCTCCGAAACGCCAGCAGGGAGGGGGCCGATCTGATATCTGCGTTCCACAGCCGAGGGGCCACCATTGAGAAGGTCCTGTCTCTCGTCCCCGCCAAGCGTGCCTGTGATGCAGGCGGGACAGAGAGCAGGGCCTCCCCAGATGATCTTAGTGTCCTAGTCGGTTCATAGGAGGAGATGCGTTCGGAGAGGTAAGTAGGGCCAGAACCGTTTAGGGCTTTATAGGCTAACGCCAGCACTTGAATTGTGCCCAATAGCAAACTGGCAGCCAGTGGAGCTGGCGCAACAGAGGAGTAGTTTGCTCCCTGAGTACCGCTGCTTTTAGCATCCTGGCTGCCGAACGCTGGACCATTTGAAGCTTCCGAGCAGTCTTCAAAGGCAATCCCACGTAGAGAGCATTGCAGTAGTCTATACGGGATATAACCAGAGCGTGGACTACTGTGGCCAAGTCAGACTTCCCAAGGTACGGGCACAGCTGGCGCACAAGTTTTAAGTGTGCAAATGCTCCCCTGGTCACCGCTGAAACCTGGGGTTCCAGGCTCAGCAACGAGTCCAAGATCACACCCAAGCTGCGAACCTGCGTCTTAAGGGGGAGTGTAACCCCGTCCAACACAGGCTATAGCCCTATGCCCTGTTTGGCCTTATGACTGACCAGGAGTACCTCTGTCTTGTCTGGATTCAATTTCAATTTGTTCGCCCTCATCCAGACCGTTACAGTGGCCAAGCACCGGTTCAGGACCTGAACAGCCTCCTTAGTAGCAGGTGGGAAGGAGTGATAGAGTTGAACGTCATCTGCGTACAGATGACACCGTACCCCGAAACTCCGGATTATCTCCCCCAGCGGCTTCATGTAGATGTTAAACAACATGGGAGACAATACTGATCCCTGTGGAACCCCACAAGACAATGGTTGTGGGGCAGAACAGGTGTCCCCCAGCAACACCTTCTGAGATTGACCCTCTAGGAAGGACTGGAGCCACTGCAGAACAGTGCTTCCAAGGCCCATTCCCGCGAGGCGTCCCAGAAGGATACAGTGGTCGATGGTATTGAAGGCCGCTGAGAGGTCCAGCAGAACTAACAGGGACACACTCCCCCTGTCTAGCTCCCAGCGTAGATCATCCACTAAGGCAACCAAGACTGTTTCAGTTCCATGTTCCGGCCTAAAGCCAGACTGTGCCGAATCCAGATAATCCATGTCTTCCAAGAATACTTGGAGTTGTGAAGCCACAACACATTCCAGGACTTTGCCCAAAAAGGGGAGATTGGAAACTGGCCAATAGTTGACGAATTGGGTGGGGTCCAGTGATGGTTTTTTCAGCAGTGGTTTTATTATAGCTTGTTATTCAAGCTATATTATAGCTTGATATTCAGGATACATCTCTGTCCAAGAGGCATTGTTTACATTTTGACTGGCAGCCACAGTGGAATTGTAAGTGCCATGGAGGTAAAATCGCTCTGTACAGTGAGTATGATTGTATAGTCACATAAAGAATTTTTCTTTCTCTGTATAATCTTTTCATTGTGGAATTTGATGTATCATTTTGTTGCTACCAAGGTGACACTGCTGAGGTGTTTGGATGGCGTTTGGTTATATATTCGTACCTGTCCATTAGGGATGTAGGTTAGTAATTTTTGCATGAAGGAAGCAAACTGTCAGGCTTGAGCAGGTCACAAGCACCCTTCGGGAAGGACTGGAATGTCATGTGGCATCACCATGGTTTCTTCTCAGGTCCATTAATGAGATTCATTTCTGATTATGGTGGGGATTTGTGCTCCTGAGCTTAGAGACGGTTAAAAGCTTGTTAAAAGATGAGGCTTAATGTGTTGTCAGAGGCTTTCATGGCCAAAATCACTGGGTTGCTGTGAGTTTTCCAGGCTGTATGGCCATGTTCCAGAAGCATTCTCTCCTGACGTTTAACCCAAACCTATGGCAGGCATCCTCTGTGGTTGTGAGGTCTGTTGGAAGCTAGACAAGGGAGGTTTATATATCTGTGGAATGTCCAGGGTAGGAGAAAGAACTCTTGTCTGTTGGTGGCAAGTGGGGATGTTGCAATTGACCAGCTTGATTAGCATTGAGTAGCAGTGCAGCTTCAAAGCCTAGCTGCTTCCTGCCTGGGGGAATCCTTTGTTGGGAGGTGTTAGCTGTCCCTGATTGTTTCCTGTCTGGAACATGAAAGGCACTGCAGACTAATTCAACCAAAGAAGTCAGCCATAGCAGAGCACTTGATGAACCAACCTGGACACAGCATATTATTTGAGAAGACAGAAATGCTGGATCATTCTAACAACCACCATTTCAGACTACACAGAGAAACCATTGAAATCCATAAGAAGCAGGTGGACAATTTCAACAGAAACAGGAAACCATGAAAATGAACAAAATCTGTCTACCAGTATTTAAAAAAACTTGAGAATCAGGACAGTAAATAAAGGACAACACTAAAAAATCCCGGGAATTCCAGACAAGAAACAATCAGGGCTAACTAACACATCCCAACAAAGGATTCCCACAGCCAGAAGCAGCAAGGCTTTGAAGCTACAAGGCTATTAAATGCTAATCAAGGTGGCCAATTGCAACATTCCCACTTGCCTCCAACAGACAAGAGGTCTTTCTCCCACCTTGGATATTATTCCACATGTATATATACATACCTCACTTGCCTAGTTTCCAACAGACCTCAAAACCTCTGAGGATGCCTGCCATGGTTGTGGGCGAAATCTCAGGAGAGAATGCTTTTGGAACATGGCCAGACAGCCTGGAAAACTCACAGCAACCTAAGGGAGGCTTAGCTGGAAAATACCATGGAAATCAAAAACACCCCCTTTCTCAGTAGCAAAAAGGGTAAAGGTTTCCCCTGACATCAAGTCTAGTCGAGTCCAACTCTGGGGTGGTGATGCTAATCTCCATTTCTATGCCAAAGAGCCGGCATTGTCCGTAGACACCTCCAAGGTCACGTGGTCAGCATGACTGCATGGAGCGCCATCACCTTCCCGCCAAGGCGGTACCTATTGATCTACTCACATTTGCATGCTTTCAAACTGCTAGGTTGGCAGAAGCTGGGGCTAACAGTGGGAGCTCACCAGATTCGAACCGGTAACCTTTCGGTCAGCAAGTGCAGCAGCTCAGCGGTTTAACCCGCAGCGCTACCAGGGGGCCCTATACCCTTCTCAGTAGGGAGACCTAATTTTGACCTTTTCCAGTAATTCCCAATTTGTTGTTGTTCATTCGTTCAGTCGTTTCCGACTCTTTGTGACCTCATGGACCAGCCCACGCTAGAGCTCCCTGTTGGCTGTCACCTCCACCAGCTCCTTCAGAGTCAAGCCAGTCACTTCAAGGATGCCATCCATCCATCTTGCCCTTGGTCGGCCCCTCTTCCTTTTTTCCTTCCATTTCCCCCAGCATCATTGCCTTCTCTAAGCTTTCCTGTCTCCTCATGATGTGGCCAAAGTACTTCAACTTTGTCTCTACTATCCTTCCCTCCAATGAGCAGTCGGACTTTATGTCCTGAAGTATGGACTGGTTGGATCTTCTTGCAGTCCAATTCCCAATTAGTGTTCCCCTAAGACAGTAGAACTGGCTCTATACCGCCACAGGCAGCGTAAGGTCCTATGGAGCTACACTTTGGCACAAGGCATGATGGGAGTCCTGGGATAACAAGACTTGAGGTGGACTGTACCACTCGCATCGCGGGGGGAGGGGAATTAATAGCGAGGGCGAAGTTTGCACTTTTCTCTACGCAATCTACCATTAGAAGCCGTTTCTAACCTTACCCAGGGTTATATTGCTATAGCGAAGGAGTTTTTCTTGGGGAGTCACAGTGGTCTTTCACCCCCCCCCAAAGGTCTTAGTTTCAGCATCCCGTTTCCATAGCGACTGAGGGAGCGCGCGGCAAGATGGCGGCGGCGGTAACAGTGCCTCTTTGGCCGCTTAAATGCCCGTTTTAGTGGCGTTTCTCCCTGGTTATGCCTGTCAGGCGGTTCTTATGGGGGCTCGTGCTTCTTTCCACGGCTCGGGCCCAGGATGGGATTCCCGGTGGGTAGCGAACGACGGCGCCTGGGGTGTGAAGCCGTGCAGGGAGTTGTAGTTTGACAAGGCCCCTCGCCTCTCCAACCTACAACACGCTGGATGCTATTGCAGTCAGTCGTGGGAGTTAAACTGCTGCCAAACTGCATTCATTCTACAGTGTAGATGCACCCTTTGGGAAACTGCGGCCCCTTCCACACAACTGTATAAAATCCTTCACCTGCTTTGAACTGGATTATGTGGCAGTGTGGACTCAGGGCTCTTCCCGACAGGCCCTACATCTCAGGATCTCATCCCAGGTTCTCTGCTTTAAACTGGATTACATGAGTCTGCACTGCAAGATAACCTGGAATCAGATCCTGGGATATAGGGCCTGTCTGGAAGGGCCCCCAGTTCAAAGCAGGCCTTGTGGATTATCTCCCTTGATATTCTGGAGATAATATACGGCTTGACAGGCCCGTAGCCAGGATTTCGTTTTGAATTTCTTTCAGGGGGGGTTTCGGGGGGGGGCTGAGTCTGAGTGAAAGAGGGTCTAGCCTAGCAAACCTTTTGTATCATTACCCCAATACCCCCATGCATATAGGATATATTGAGTATGGTGATCAGATCATGATATGAATAAACATAACAGTTTAAATAATGCACCAGTAAGGCCTTTTCGCGAACCACCATGAGAATTTGGGGGGGGCTGAAGCCCCCCCTCCTGGCTACATGCCTGCGGCTTGATATACATACTGTTGTGTGGAAGGGCCCTCAGATAGCCCAGTTCAAAACAGACTTTATGGAAAGCCAATGGTATTTTGGCCTGCATCAATAGGAGCATAGTGTCTAGATCTAGGAAGTAATGCTACCCCTCTATTCTGCCTTGGTTAGACCACACCTGGAATATTGTGTCCAATTCTGGGCACCACAATTCAAGAGAGATATTGACAAGCTGGAATGTGTCCAGAGGAGGGTGACTAAAATGATAAAGGTCTGGAGAACAAGCCCTATGAGGAGCGGCTTAAGGAGCTGGGCATGTTTAGCCTGAAGAAGAGAAGGCTGAGAGGAGATATGGCCATGTATAAATATGTGAGGGAAGTCATAGGGAGCAGGGAGCAGGCTTGTTTTCTGCTGCCCTGGAGAACAGTGGCTTTAAACTACAGGAAAGGAGATTCCATCTGAACATGAGGAAGAACTTCTTAACTGTGAGAGCCGTTCAGCAGTGGAACTCTCTGCCCTGAGTGTGATGGAGGCTCTTTCTTTGGAAGCTTTTAAATAGAGGCTGGATGGCCATCTGTCAGGGGTGCTTTGAATGCAATATTCCTGCTTCTTGGCAGGGGGTTGGACTGGATGGCCCATGAGGTCTCTTCCAACTCTATGATTCTATGATTATCTGCCTTGACATTCTGGGTTGCATGGTTGTGTGGAAGGGACCTACAGCTTCCAGGATCCCATAGTATTGAGGAGTGCGTTGATTGTGCTTTTCCTACATGGCAGGGGGTTGGACTAGATGGCCCATGTGGTCTCTTCCCACACGATGAGTCTATGAGCAATTTATCTGAGGCCAAACTGCATTTATTTTACAGTGGAGATACACCGAACATTGCAGGAAATGGGTATTGACTCTGCCATGTGCAAAAAGTCTAGAAATGTCTTCAAAGGGTTGGGTGCACCCTGCTGATTTCCCAAAATAAAGCCAGCTTTCAGTATTACTGCTGCCAATCCCTGGCTTGTGGCTAGAAACAATTGCACAGACCTGCATTATATGGCCTTTAAGATCCCTTCCAATTCTATGAAGTTTGAGCAGCTCTGCCTGAATACAAAGGAATTTATGCTGAGGATAGTATTACAGTTTTTCCCCAGTTTCCTTCTTCCATAGATGAGCAGTGTGTTGGCATGCTAAAAAAACAAATGCTTCCAAGGCCCAGGTACACTTGACCATTTAATGCAGTTTGAAGCTGTCCAGACAACAAACTCCCACAAAAGTGAACAAAAGGAAGCCCTTTATGCGCCTCAGTGCTCTATAATCCTCATCTGGGCCTCAAACTGGAAACGGGATGCTGTTCCAGGATTTCTTATGGAATCATCTGCACAGTGAAACGGCTTTAAATTATCAACCTCAGAAGAAAAACATATCGTGCTTCTGTGTTTGTCTAGATGGAGATTGGAGCCAAATGTTGTAAACAGATTTTTTTCCTGTCACCTGGTTCACAAACAACTTTATTCTTCCTGGGTCTTAAAGTAATACATCTTTTATTGATTTCTACTTTCTGTTTTTAGGCTTTCGGCCTTCTTTTATTTACATGTCTGGAACGGTTGTCACCTCTTCATTGGTCGGTGTTCCTGCAAATATCTTCTCTATTGCTGTAACAGACAGCGAAACAGGTAGGTTTTTTCTTTTCTAGATTACATTTGAAATGGTCAGAGCACTTTTCTATTCATTAAGACCATTGAATAGCTTTACTGGTGAAATTGTATTCTGCCACCCATAGCAGTGACTAAGGGCCCTTCTACACAGCCACATAACACAGAATATCAAGGCAGATAATGCACAATATATGCTTTGAACTGGGTTATCTGAGTCCACAATGCCATATAATCAAGTTCAATGTGGATTTTATACAGCTGTGTGGAAGGGGCCTAAAGGATGCAAAACAGTACACAATACCCTCTGCCAATGTATGCATAACTTGATCCATTGAGTAGAGTGGGGCAGTTGCCAGCCAGGGGAGGGGCAGTAACATTCCTATCAACATTATTTCCTAAACCTACTGGCTGTTCTTTTCTCTTAGAGACAGAACGGTGTGTGTGCCCAAAAACCTGTATGAAAACAGGATTTAACTAGTAATCTAGTCTGCCTCTGTATGTGGAATGCAAGCACCCTTCCGCACAGCCATATAACCCAAAATATCAAGGCAGAAAGTCCCAGAATATCTGCTTTGAACTGGGTTATCTGAGTCCACACTGCCATATATTCCAGTTCAAAGCAGATAATGTGGGATTTTATTCAGCTGTCTGGAAGGGATCTAAGACAAAACATCTGGTTGTTTGCCTAAGCAGCAAAACATTTTGGGTTAATTCTAGTTTGATTTTTGCTCTCTTCTAGGAATGTTACCCCCTTCAGACTGTAGTGGAAGGAACAAAACTGGTGACTGGACTCTAAATGTCACGTATCAAGAGGTTCGCAAAAATTGATTCTGCCAGTGAAATATCTTAACAGAGATGCTTCTAAAATGTCTTCTTTGAGCATAATGCCATACATTTCCAAATTTTGGGATTTATTTTCTCCTGACAGCTCTAAGAGGATTTTATAGTTTTTGTCCTTCATGTAGGTGAAATATAATATACCGAGAACTAATGTATATTGATATACTTTAACTATGTTTAATCATGCTAAAATACACCTCAAGCTGTAAGGAGAGGCAGGTAAGTAATACAATGTTGTTATTATTGTTATTATTTTATATAGATTTTTTCATAATACAATACAATACTTTCTGTGGTTGCTTGAGGATGAGAAGAATTCTGTATCTAGATGACACAGAATTTTGTATGTTTAGTCTACGAGGGAGAAAGACCCCAATAAAATATTGCTCTTCTATATCCTTCATATTATTGTTTCATTTTTTAAAATCAAACATGTAAGTAAAATCAAACATGTAAGAAAAACAATACAAGCAGGTACACTATGCAGCATTAAATTATCATAATATGCATGCATATATTTGCTACAGAGAAAAGGTTGAGACATCAGCCACAATTTATGCAAAAATGGAGACATAGCATAGCTCACGTAGACGTAGAATGGTCAAGCCAGAAACTAAAATAAACAGTTAATATCATAATATAATTGAAAATCTTTTTTTTTTTTTGGAGAAAAATATGTCATTTTAATGATCAGGACTAATTTGTTTTCAGGGCTGTTTTTCCCAGCAAGTTGTATTGATTTCTAATTAATGTTTTGTAAAACTGTGTTTCAGAATGTTTCCAGAGTGACCGTGCGCTTAACCAGAAACCTACAACTATGCACTTCAAATGCCACTCATTGCTGCATAGAGGCCCTTTGTGTGGTGGAGGCTTTGCAGGTTTCAGCTTGTTCGGACTCAGTGGTGGTGGCCCGCCTCTTGATCCAAGCTGAAATATATGCTAATACGTCCTCACAAAATGTGTCAGGAAAAGTGGAAGGTATTCCGACTTTTCTTGCTTGATGTTGATGTTTTTCAGCTCATTTATATGAGTAACACAGTGATAGTGATCCAGTGCTTCTCCACAGTCTTTTGATATAACTTCATCACTTCATTGTTTGCTTGTATTGCCCGGCATCAGATAACAAAGGCAGCAGATTTTTGCACGTATTATATATGTATCTGTGTACTTACTTACTTAGGCGATCCCTCGTTGTCCGAGTATGATGGCCTTCCAAGTGTAGTCTTAGCGGTGAATATGTAGGTGACTGTGGAACCCTATTCTTGACCCGCATGTTCTGCAGTGAGGACATCAGTTTCCAGGTGGAAGGCGGTCCCGATCAAGGTTGACTTGACATGCCTTCCTCTTGGCACGTTTCTCCCTTTTGCCCTCCATTTGTGCCTCTTTGAATTCTGCAGCACTGCTGGTCACAGCTGTCCTCTAGTTAGAGTGCTCAAGGGCCAGGGCTTCCCAGGGCCCTTCAACACAGCCCTATATCACGGAATATCAAGGCAGGAAATCCCACAGCATCTGCTTTGAACTGGGTTATCTGAGTCCACACTTAGATAATGTGGGATTTTCTGCCTTGATATTCTGGGATATAGAGCTGTGTGGAAGGGCCCCCAGTTCTCGGTGTCTATGCCAGAGTTTTTAAGGTTGACTTTAACCCCAACTTTAAATCTCTTTTCCTGTCCACCAACATTCTGTTTTTCATTTTTGAGTTGGGAATAGAGTAACTGTTTTGGGAGATGATGATCTTTGGGCATTTGGACAACGCAGCTACTCCGGTGGAGTTGATGGCATAGGAGCATTGCTTCAATGCTGGTCCACCTGTCTTTCCAAGAGATTTGCAGGATTTTTTGGAGGCAACGCTAATGGAATCGTTCCAGGAGTTAAGTGTGACGTCTGTAGACAATCCACATTTTGCAGGCGCATAACAGGGTTGGGAGGACAGTAGCTTTATAAACAAGCACCTTGGTATCCTTACGGATGTCCCAATCCTCAATCACTCTGCTTCATTCGGAAAAATGCTGCACTCGCAGAGCTCAGGTGGTGTTGTATTTCAGTGTCAATGTTGACTTTTGTGTAGAGGTAGCTGCCAAGGTAGCGGAAATGGTCAACATTTTCTAACATTGCACCATTAAGCTGTATTTCTGGCATTGCGGAGGGATTGACTGGTGTCTGCTGGAAGAGCATTTTGGTTTTCTCAATGTTCAGTGAGAGGCCGAGCTTCTCGTACACTTCTGCAAAAGGTGTTTAGAGTGGCTTGTAGGTCTTCTTCTGAATGTGCACAGACTATGTCATCAGCATATTGGAGTTCTATAACAGATGTTGTTATGACCTTGGTTTTGGCTTTCAGTCTGCTGAGGTTAAATAGCTTGCCGTCTGTCCAATAGATGATTTCTACTCCGGTGGGAAGCTTTCCTCAACAAGATGAAGTATCATAGCAGTGAAGATGGAAAATAAGGTTGAGACCATAACACATCCCTGTTAAACACCTGATTCCACCTTAAATGAGTCGCTTTGGGAGCCATTGCTGTCCAAGACTGTTGCTATCATGTCATCGTGGAGGAGCCGCCAGATGTTTACAGGGCATCCGATGTTTTGGACAATGGTCCAGAGAGCACTGTGATTCACTGTGTCAGATGCCTTTGCAAGGTCAATGAATGCCATGTGATTTTGTTCCCTGCATATTTTTTTTTGAGCTGCCGTGCAGTGCAGATCATGTCCACTGTTCCTCTGGAGGGGCGGAAGCTGTTCTGGAATTCTGGGAGGGTGTCTTCTGAGACAGGTAGAACCTGGTTTGCAAGGAGTCTTGAAAGGATTTTCCCAGTGCAGGTTATAAGGGAGATACCTCGATAGTTTCTGCAGTCTGTTCTTTCTCCTTTTTTGAAAAGGGTGATGATGGTAGCATCCTTCAAGTCTGCTGGGATTTTCTTGGATATATGTATTTGTGTAGGCAGGTGTTTTTGTGGGTTGTCTTATATAAAAATACACATTGTACTTTCTCTCTGATGCTGTCCTTGGTGAGCCCAAGCCACACAATGTTCAGGCTGGAGGGCAAGATTTGCTCTCCTTACTTTGGTTTTCTGGTAAAATGTGCTTTAAAACATACCCATATGGCTAACTATTTGCTTCTTTAGGAGTGAGGAAAAGAGTGTGCTTTAACACATCAACGTGAGAACTAAATACGTTCCCTGACTTTGGTGTCTCCCAGCAATATTGAACCACCTGCTGTTTGTATTTTCCTCTTGATTTTCTTACAAAGGATCTCATGTAAGAGATCAATTAGATTGTGCCTTGAGGATTTTGAGAATCAGAGAATTAATTTGTTTTTTTTAAAAAAACAACAACAAACATACCGTACTTTTCTGGAACGCCTACCAGAGAAGCTTACACGTTGTCAGTACTGAATAAGTCAGTCCCTCCATTTATAATCTAAGGTCCCTTCCACACAGTCCTATAGCCCAGAATATCAAGGCAGAAAATCCCAGAATATCTGCTTTGAACTGGGTTATCCGAGTCCACACACAGATAATGTGGGATTTTCTGCTTTCATATTCTGGGATATAGGACTGTGTGGAAGCACCCTAAGAGACAAAACAATAAAGGTAAATGAGGGAAGAAGAGGGAGGAAAACAGAAAAACCAAACACCTGTTCTGAAAGGTATATTATCAAATGGAAAGCTTGAGTGTAAACAGTTGAGGGAAAGTCCTAGCGGAGAGGATCGACTAGCCGTGATTTCTATCTCTCCCAAAAAGGCATCAGATGGGATTTTTTCCTGTTAGATACCATATGTTGGAGGGAGGAATCTCCAAAATTTCTAGTTCTCTCTCTTTTTCATTAGAGAAAGAAAGAGTGATCCCCAATCAAGCGTTTCAGCCTCTGGGTTCTTGTCCTTGCAATCTCACTGCAGGAGCCTGTGATGTCCTTTGCTGCTGTGATCAGGTACCAGTTCTGTGTTTAGCTTCTAAAACCTATGCCTGCAAAATGATCTGTGCATTTTTCTTCACATTTAGAAAAATGACATGATAACCCCCAGTAGTTTGTTTTCCTGGGCAAACTGTTAATAGAATAATTTCTAAGAAGGAAAATATACAACAAAGGCTGGAACTTTCTGTCTCAGAGCTGCAGTCACTCCCAAAGAGATTGTCTCTGTTACTGTATCTAATATAGTTCGTTTGAACTAAGGGCCCTTCCACACAGCCCTATATCTCAGAATAGCAAGGCAGGCAATCCCACATTAACTGAATGTGGACTCAGGGCCCTTCCACACAGCCCTATATCCCAGAATATCAAGGCAGAAAATCCCACAATATCTGCTTTGAACTGGGTTATTTGAGTCCACACTGAGATAATGTGGGATTTTCTGCCTTAATATTCTGCGATTTAAGGCTGTGTGGAAGGGCCCTAAGTGTGTTATACGGTGCAATCCTTTTGTGTGTGTTTTCTTTCCAGGAATGCACCGCTGTGATGAAGGAACTGTTCAATGGGTCATGTTATAAAGGAGTGTTTGGTGGGGATGTTTGCCCTACTTTTGATCAGCTGTGCTCTGACCAGGCAGGAAATAATGCTCCCGATTGGTTTCCCTTCTTATGTGTGCAGTCTTCTCTTAAGAATACACCTTTCCTTGGTTATTTCTATCATGGATCTATGTAAGTATGGTGTGTCAGTGTATAAAATAATCTAAATACTGGAAACACAACCTTTAAGACTTTAATAGCAATCTAAATATGTTTTTAAAATATGTTTGCAGTTCTTCTTCATACCAAGTCTCTTCATTTAAGATTCCATCTCAAACGGTCCAAGGAAGGCTTTCTACTGGTTACAAACAAGGAGATCCAATTCTAACCATAGCAAATACGTATTTTACAGTTCCTCAGGTAATGGCTGTCTGCTTTTACAAATAACCCACATTCCTGTCTGTGTGTTCAAAATAAGTGAAAAGAATGGCACAAATGTCTCATTTCCTGCTTTTTCCTGTTGTATGATGTAGGTGTCCATAGCTGGGCAATGTGCAATAAATAGCCCTGTTGCTTTTCTTCAGAATTTTGAAGTCGAATGTTTTGCTGCTTGCAATCAATTGAATAGCTCACTGACTGATATACTGATTAACAGTGGTACTGGAGGTATGTTGCTTTTGTATTTGGCCTTCCATCAGTTGTTTGGTTTCCTCCAACAGTTCTAGTATTTTCAGGTGACAGTGATTTTTTTCTTAACACATAGCTCAGATCACTCACTACCTGTGCAATGTCCAAAATCCATATGTGTATTTAATTCATAGCATTACGTGTATGTATGTCACCAACAGGAATTCAGCCAATATCTTTGGCATTTTTTTCAGGCTTTTCAAGAGAAAACATCTGAATTAGCCATTTGGGAAACAATGTTTTCTTGTTCCCCAAGCAACAAATAAATAAATAATAGTTATTATTGTTATTGTTGTTGTTGTTGTTGTTGTTATTATTATTATTATTATTATTATTCCAAATGGCATAATTGCAACAATAATTGGTTAGTAAAGAGTGCATCAGCTGGTTATATTTGTAAGTGTCAGAAACAGTAACAATAACCTGGGTTTCTGTGAGTTTTCCAGGCTATATGGCCTGGAATACATAACAACAACAACAACAACAACCTGTTGGTTGATCAGAGTAACAGGTAATGTTTCTTTTCATTGCAGCTTGATTATAAACTTTTACTTCCCTTGCTGTTTTTCAATTTTTTTGCCAGACATCATCAAGTTGCAGGTGACCCACGAGAAGAAAACCACTAATATAGATAGCTGTATTGGTAAAGGTAAATATTATTTAATTTTATATATTACATTTTTTCATTGTAAGGTAAGAGTCTTTAAGTCCCAATGCAACTAACTCTTCTTTTGTGCTCAGAATGCAGAAATGTGACATTTGCAGAGGATTACATGATCATATGGGAAGGCAAAAGAATAATAGAAATGAAAGTCACCGTTCTTTTTGGGGACATATGTCCAGAAGGTACCATTATTTTTATTTGTCACTGCATAGTCACACATTCTTTTTTCCAAGTATGTTGTTTTTGAGACATAATCTTATCAAGTTATTACCAGAGCGTGAATGGAAAGTGTTCTGGTTTTGAAACTGAAGCTTTAATATGTATGTTAGAGATAAAAGTTGTTGTAATATGGCGTCCTTCCTTTTTTATAATATGTCCTTTTCTTTATTAGAGGCACCGACTCAGAAATTCACAGTCAACTTTGTGAGTGTAAATACTACCAGCACAGAAGAATTTTCTGGCAATCCAGGTGAACTGCCTCATTGGTTTAAAAGATGCTTGTTTTTTGTTATATTGATTGCCAGCAGTCAGGGATACTGGGATAAAGGGGTAAAGTGGGGTATAAATAAATACAATACAAAGGGCTAAATACAAAGTGTTGGTAATTACCTATAAAGCCATAAATGGTTCAGGCCCTGACTGTCTGAAAAACCGTATCTTCGCATACAGACCTGCACGAACACTGGTCTGTGGGAGAGGCTCTGCTCTTGGTCCCATCCCCGTCTTGGTCCCATCCCCGTGCAGCTGGTGGGAATGAGAGAGGGGGCCTTCTCTGTGATCACTCCCCTCCCTCCTTAAAGAACTAAAGGCAGCCCCTTCTCTCCTCTCCTTTAAAAAGCTTTAAAAAACCCATCTATGCACTTTAGCTTATGGAGAGGAGGAGGACTTATTACATCTTATATATACCCCTGCCTACTTGTTGGACACCTACCCTTATCAGTTAGCTGTATACCATCTTAGCTCTAATATTTTGAGTTGAATTTTAAGAGTTTTAAAGAACTTATTATGTTTTAAATATGTATGATGTATTATGTCATGTTTATTTAAGTTGTTGTTTTTATAATTTTTGTCGAGTTTGTTTTTTGACATGCTATGAATGTTTGCCACTGTCTTTTTTATTTTGCTGGAAGCTGGTCTGAGTCCTCTCTGGGACATAGGGCGGGTTATAAATTAAGCATTGTTAATAATAGTAGTAGTAGCAATAATGATAATACTGGTTTCTCTTTAATATTTTGGCACGTGTGTCAGGTTTGAATATAGGTCAGGATCATTCCCATCCAAATGATTTGTAATGATCTGAATTTGGGCAGGAAAAATGAGTGGCTATCAATACAATATAATTGAAGTCCCATTTGTTTGGAATAGGTGTGTCAGTAATGTGGTGTGTCCAGGAAAGAATACTTTTAATTGAAGCCAGCTCCACTGGCTGCCTATCAGCTTCTGAGCACAATTCAAAGTGCTGGCTTTGGCCTATAAAGCCCTGAACGGTTCTGGTCCAGTTTACTTGTCCGAACGTATCTCTCGTTATGATCCACCTAGGGCCCCCATTGTTGCAATCACACCTGATGGGGACAAGGGACAGGGCCTTTTCTGTGGTGGCCCCTCGGCTGTGGAACTCTCTCCCAAGTGAAATTAGATCTGCTGCATCCCTCTTGACCTTCCGGAAACAAGTTAAATCCTGGCTATGGGATCAGGCCTTTGTAGATTAGGTTGACTTGCTGACATGACGATGTTTATAGAACTGACTGACTGCCCCTTGGATGATGAGTCAAACTGGCGACTACTGACTGCCTGATTGTTTTTATATTATTTTATACTGTTTTATACTGTTTTATTGCTATACTGCTGTTAAATTGTATATTTATGTTCTGGTATGGGCATCATGGGGTGCTGATTTGTTAGCCGTCCTGAGTCCCTCTGCGGAGGTTGAGAGAGGACGGGATATAAAAGCCCTAAATTAATTAATTAATTAATAATTTTGCTGCTGTAGACAACCCCAATGTCTGCCATCTTCTACTGCTTCAAGGCTGGTAGGAAAGAAGGTGAATTGCTAAGCACATCTGAGGGTGGGAGCACATTTGTGACAGTGTGTGTACTGAACAAACTCAAGGAAGTTTAGTATTTGGCACAATTGCTTGGTAATATAAAACCTCATCCAAAATTCTCTTTGTCTGTATAGGTTATCAAGTTGGGAAACCAATTAGAGCTGCAAATCTGAATTCTTCCGATGCTGTTGCCACGTTAAATCTTTGGAAGCCTGGTATTACAATTTGAAAGTGATAACAGTGTAGTATTTTGTTGTTTTTTCGTTCAGTTGTTTCCAACTTTTTGTGATCTTATAGACAAGACCACGCCAGAGCTCCCTGTTGACCATTGCCACCCCCAGTGCAGTATAAATATGTTAATTAAATATGTTAATTAAATAAATATGTTAATTATTACTCTTAACATATTTAATTAAATAAATATGTTAATTATTACTCTTAACATTTTTTCCTCCCATGGTGTAGTTTTTGTTATGTGTTTTCAAGTCATTTCTGGCTTATTGCAACCCTAAAACAGATCTATAAAGAGGACTTCTAGGCAAAATTTGTTCAAATGGTGTTTGCTATTGCCTTTGTCTGAGGTCGAGATAATTTGACTTGCCCAAGGTCAGCTAGTGGGTTGCCATGGCGAGCAAGGATTCAAACTCCAGGCATCCTAATCTAATAAAAACCATTGCTTTTGTTGTTATATTGTTGTGTTGTGTTGAGGCCTTGGCCTTTGTAAGCCGCATCGAGTCCTTCGGGAGATGCTAGCGGGGTACAAATAAAGTTAATAAATAAATAAAATAAATAATAATAATAAAAACCACTACCCCACATTAAAGCCTTTAACCAACTGAACTGGTATATTTATGAGTTGTAAAAAGATATTGGTGACTAATTCATAAAGATACTGTTAATAGTGGGTCCTTGGTGTTTGCTGGGATTTGATTCCAGGACCCCTGGTAGATCATTCATAAATGTCCTAAGATAAGTATCGTAACATTTTCCTATGGAAATTATTCCTCTTCACTTGATATTAGAAGAAGCCCTGAATAAGATTGTCTACTCTTCCCCCTGCTCTTTGTGTCCACTGTAAAGTTTTCCCAATATAATTTGAGTCCATATTTAGAGTCAAAATCAAGGCCAAAGAGTTATTTTAAATATTTTCATATATGATATTACAATAGTAGTATCAGATTCACTTTGAGAAATAGATGGTTTCTCAGTTATTTTTTAAAAATAATTTTGAACAAACCATAGCTTTATAGTTGAATTGAACTAAGTCAAACAACATAGGGTTGCTGTGAGTTTTCTAGGCTGTATGACCATGTACCAGAAGCATTCTCTCCTGACTTTTCAGGTCTCCAGGGCAGCAGAAAACAAGCCTGCTCTCTCCTCCTTATGACTTCCTATCACATCTTGATACATGGCCCTCATCATGTCACCTCTCAGCCTTCTCTTCTACAGGCTAAACATGCTCAACTCTTTAAGCTGCTCCTCAGAGGGCTTGTTCTCCAGACCCTTGATCATTTTAGTCGTCCTCCTCTGGACACATTCCAGCTTAGAGTCAACATCTCCCTTCAATTGCAGTTTCCAGAATTGAACATAGTGTGATTCCAGGTGTGTCTGACCAAGGCAGAATAGAATAGAGGGGTAGCATGAGTTCTCTGGATCTAGACGCTAGACTCCTATTTATGCAGGCCAAAATCTCATTGGCTTTTTTAGCTGCCACATCATGTTGTTGGCTCATATTTACCTTCCTGTCCATGAGGACTCCAACATGCCCAGCTCTTTAAACTGCTCCTCATAGGGCTTGTTCTCCAGACCCTTGATCATTTTGGTCGCCCTGCTCTGGACACATTCCAGCTCGTCAACATCTCCCTTCAGTTGTGGTGCCCAGAATTGACACAGTATTCCAGGTGTGGGCTGACCAAGGCAGACTAGAGGGGGAGCATGACTTCCCTGGATCTAGACACTATACTCCTGTTTATGCAGGCCAAAATTCCATTGGCTTTTTTTGCTGTCGGATGACATTGTTGGCTCATGTTCACCTTCCTCCCCACGAGGATTCCAAGATCTTTTTTCACACTTACTGCTGTCGAGCCAGGCATCCCGCATTCTGTATCTTTGCATTTCATTTTTTCTGCCTAAGTAGATAAGAGTATCTTGCATTTATCCCTACTGAACTTCATTTTGTTAGTTTTGGCCCATGTTTAGTTATATTAATAACAAGCTTGATGTAAAGTGCTGGCAAGGATGCTCTGTTCAAGGATAAAATATAGCCCTGGAGTCTGGTTTCTTTTTCCTTTTGTGTAATGATAATTTTGGACCCCCCAGTGGCGCAGTGGGTTAAACCGCTGAGCTGCTGAACTTGCTGACTGACGTGTCAGCGATTCAAATCTGGGGAGCAGGGTGAGCTCCCATTGTTAGCCCCAGCTTCTGCCAACCTAGCAGTTTGAAAACATGCAATTGTGTGTAGATCAATAGGTACCACTTTGGTGGGAAAGTAACAGTGTTCCATGCAGTCATTCTGGCCACATGACCTTGGAAGCATCTACGGACAACACCGGCTCTTCGGCTTAGAAATGGAGATGAGCACCACCCCCCAGAGTCAGACACAACTAGACTTAATGTCAAGGGGAAACCTTTACCTTTTTTAAAATGATAATTCCAAAACAGCTCTGTTCATAATTTTTCCATTGAAATTATTTTAAAAAACAATATTCCTAATGCGGGGTTATTTTATTATCCCTCAAATGTATTTCCACAATGACTGTTTAGTCACTTGGCTTGAAATGTGTCCAAAATCACAGTTTAAAAACACAGGTTAATGTAACAGGTATGGAACTGGGAGGGGGGGGGACTGATAGGAGGGGTCAAACACTGGGGGGCACTAAAGCGGATGGGAGGGGCACATTACAAGTCTAGTAGCATTTCCACTGTAACATGTTGCTCTAACTACACTTCCAACAGGGTGTTGCCTTGCAGGGTGGACCATCATGTTTTCTAATCTGTTTTTTTAGTAACTGCCTCACTGGGGAGCTGTGTTTTGTGCTGGTCAGTGACCGTAATAAAATGTTGTATTGTGTTGAAATCTATACCATCAATTTTAGTTTTAAAAATAATGTTGCATAAAGTCACAAGCAAATATCTTAAATTGTGTTCTTTTATTACATAGGTGGGCAGAATTTGTGTACATCATCAAGTCTTACACCCATTTTATTTGGATTAAATTCAGTCTCTGGATGCGTTGTAGAGGTTGATCTTGGAGGCAACTGCAATCAGTTGAGGTAAAACAACTTCCTCCCTTTTTAAAATGTCTGGCATATTTGAAGTACAATGTGATCCTAGCATTGACATGTTTATATTATCAAAATAAATAATAGCGGTTCTTTTATCAAAATACCCACATTGACTTCAGAAATTCTAAAGACTTCCCAGCTGCCAAGTATGTATAACATGTTATAGACTGACTTACCAAATCTGAGTGCTAGAAATTAATTTATAACACACATTTCTTTGCAGGGAGAATGTTACTGAACAATTTAGTTCTTTGCTGCAAGCTAACTATATTGGAAAGAGAGGCAACTCCAATGCAAGTGTCCCAGATGACTGGGTGGAAATTATCAGTGAGTAGCAGTAGTCAATAGCATGAAGTCTACTGTAGAATTTTTATATTTTAAACAACTGGAATTATTGGGTAAAGTGAGTCATTTGCTGTTGTAGTAGTAGTAGTAGTAGTAATAATAATAATAATAATAATAGTTACTATTGTTGTTATTTGTTATGAACCTCTCCTCATGGCTTGAGACAGGGTACAACACCATTAAAACACAACACCATAAAATACATAAAGTGCGCATATTAATGTGCATTTTTATAAAATATTCATATTCAATACACGGTACAAAGATTAACATACAATAGTGATAGAATGTAAATTTAAAATTCATGATTTAAAATGGACTGTGTGGTGGCTTCCCAACTGCAGGGATACTTGGATGAAACCGATTATCTTGATCCCTTGCAGTCTGGCTTTAGGCCTGGTCATGGAACGGAGACAGCTTTGGTTGCCTTGATGGATGACCACCACAGAGAACTAGATAAGGGGAGTGTGTCCCTGTTGGTTCTCTTGGACATCTCAGTAGCTTTCAATACCATCAACCATGGTATCCTTCTGGGTCAGCTCTCGGGATGAGTCTTGGGGGCACTGCTATGGAGTGGCTCCGCTCCTACCTGGAGGATCGTACCCAGATGGTGATGCTGGGGGACACCTGCTTGGACCCCTGACCTGTGGGGTTCCGCAAGGTTGTATTCTTTTCCCCATGCTATTTATCATCTACATGAAACCTCTGGGTTAGGTCATCTGGAGTTTTGGAGTTGGGTGTCATCTCTACGCAGATGACACACAACTCGACTACTCTTTTCCACCTCATTCCAAGGAAGTCCCCCCAGATCCTGGACCAGTGCCTGGCTGCTGTGATGGACTGGATGAGGGCCAACAAACTGAGGCTTAATCCAGACAAGACAGAGGTCCTCCTGGTCAGTTGTGAGGCCAATTGGGGTGTAGGGTGGCAACCTGTGCTCGACAAGGTTACACTCCCCCTGAGGGCTCAGGTCTGGGGGTCCTGGACTCCGCGTTGAAGCTCAGGTGTCGGCAGTGGCCTGGAGGGCTTTTGTGCAATAAAAACTTGTGCACCAGCTGCGACCGTACCTCGAAAAGCCTGACTTGGCCACAGTGGTCCACATCCTAGTCAAATCTAGAATGGACTACTGCAATGCATTCTATGTGAGCCTGCCTTTGAAGACGGCTCAGAAACTGCAGTTAGTTCAGAGATCGGCAGCTAGATTACTAACTGGGGCTAGCTATAGGGAGCATACCATGCCCTTATTAAAGCAGCTCCACTGGCTGCCAACGAGTTTCCGGGCCCAATTCAAAGTGCAGGTTATTACCTTCACTTCTGCACTTTATGGGGCTGATATTATATAAAGCTGCTATTTTTGCAGCCTGTTGGGTTTTATAGTATAAATTAATAGGGTTTTATTGTTGTTTTAAATAAAATTGAGTTAATTTTATTGTTATTAACTTTTATTTCCTGTATTTTGTTGTATTTGTATATTGTTGCACTACTGAGTGCTTTCTGTGAGCCACCCCAAGTCCCCTTGGGGAGGTGGTGGTGGGATACAAGTAAAGCTATTATTATTATTACTATTATTATTATTATTATTATTATTATTATTATTATTATTATGCCTGCCAGAATGAAATAGGGGATCACACCCTATAAACATTGGGTAGGCCTGCAACTTAAAGAACACTTTAAAATATCCTTTTTGACATGTAGTTTTGAAAGTCAAAAATTTTCCACAAGTAATTTAGTAGTTTCTCAGAACCTTGGTTTCTCCATTCACAGATTTACATACTCTTGGCCCCAGTATCAATGAAAGCATTTGGAATCTAAAGGGGATCTGCCTGGATATTCCTTCCCACTTGAATATTCAGATTATTACTGCTGATGTGGGTGCAATAGAAGGAGCTGCACAAGAAGAGATACTTGGTGTACAAATGAGGTATGGAACATTTTAAAAGTGGGATGATTTCTTTTATTTTTCCTTTGCTCAGTCTGCATAGTTTCAGCAACTGGAAGTCTCAGCCCTAGTTGAGATTCTTTTTCACTCTTTTATTCCCACTATATGTGTTTTTTATGTCTCTGGGATGAAAAATAACTTGGTTTTGTTTGTAGTGCTTGGCCTGTTATGATCAGGAGTGTTATACTCTGTCCTGGGAGAGGGAAACAAAGTTTGCACTCAGAAAAGTTATAAGAATAATAATACATTTATTTTTATACCCCGCCAACCATCTCCCCATGGGGTCTCGGAGCAGCTATCCAATATCTGCATCCAATTCCAAAATCTGCATCCAGTTTGCAAGGTTTTTTGTGTGTGTGTGTGTGTGTGTGTCAGGAGCGACTTGAGAAACTGCCAGTCGCTTCTGGTGTGAGAGAATTGGTCATCTGCAAGGACATTGCCCAGGGGACGCCCAGGTGTTTTGCTGTTTTGCCATCCTTGTGGGAGGCTTCTCTCGTCCCCGCATGGGGAGCTGGAGCTGACAGAGGGAGCTCATCCGCGCTCTCCCGGATTCGAACCTCTGACCTGTCGGTCTTCAGTCCTGCCAGCACAAGTGTTTAACCCATTGTGCTACCAGGGGCTCCAGTTTGCAAGTTAAACAGCTTGCATAGCATTGCTGTCTTTTTTCATACTGGTCACAGAGGGGTGAGCTAAAGCAGCAGTGGAGTTGTCTACCAGGACCACTGAAAATAACTGATCACTTTACATAAGAACATCAACATGATAAACATAGCATACTTTTACTGTTTTGTCTTCTTGCACTTGAAGTTTTCCATTCATAATACAGATTTCTTTCTTTATTCAGTTTTTCAATGATAACATGGCAGGTCCAGTGTCCTCTTGTCTGTGAAGTAAGAGACACTTTTCTTCCTATCTCTGTGGCTGTCCAGTTCATTCAAATTCCAGCTCAACCTCCTGTTCCAATGACAAGGTGACTTATCTAGGATGTGGTACAGCCGGAATCCAACTATTTATTTGTTAATTACATTTGTAGCTTGCCTTTTTTATAGCGGGTTCAAGGCTCCTTAAACTACTACTAAATTAATTACCTGTGAATAATAATAATAATAATAATAGATAATAATAATAATAATTTAATAATAATAATAGGGTCCAAATTCAGGCAGACAGAGTTTTGGAGCACAATACTCCTGACCCCACGATCTTGTTAAAAAACCAAGTATGGATTGTCGATGTTGCAATCCCAGGTGACAGCAGGATTGAAGAGAAACTAGAAAAGCTGACACAATATGAGGATTTAAAGATCGAACTGCAAAGACTCTGGCACAAGCCAGTCAAGGTGGTCCCAGTGGTGATCGGCACACTGGGTGCAGTGCCTAAAGACCTTGGCCTGCACTTAAACACAATCGGCGCTGACAAAATTACCATCTGCCAGCTGCAGAAGGCCACCTTACTGGGATCTGCACGCATTATTCGCCAATGCATCACACAGTCCTAGACACTTGGGAAGTGTCCGACATGTGATCCAATACAACAGCCAGCAGAGTATCTGCTGTGGACTCATCTTGTTGTGTTTCAAATAATAATAATAATAATAATAATAATAATAATAATAATAATAATTTATCAACCTAAGCTTTGATTGGCCCAGGATCACTTAGCAAATTTCATGACTCACTGTTGACTTGAACTAGTCATAGAATCCTAAGAGTGGGAAGAGACCCCAAGGGCCATCCAGTCCAACCCGCTCCTATCAGACAGCAATACAAAATAAAAGCACTTTCGACAGATGGCCATCCAACCTGTTTAAAAATCTCCAGAGAAGGAGACTCCACCAGATTTCCAGGTAGCACATGCCACTCTCGAACAGCTCTTATCATCAGGAAGTTCTTATTCATGTTTAGGGGGGAATCTTTTTTCCTGCAATTTTAATCCATGGCTTTATGCCCCAGTTTCCAAAGCAGCAAATAAGAAGCTTGCACCCTCCTCAATATGGCATCCGTTGATCCAACTCTTTAGTTCAGGGCTGGGCAACTATCATGGGACTTGAATTTCCATTTTTAAATTGGCCCAGTGCTCAAGGTTAGAGTTTTGAGAGGAGGATTTTTGAATGCTTGGCACCAACACAATTGGAAAAACTTGTAAAACTGCAACCCCCCTGTGATTTTGTAGCATGAAGATATGGTAATTAAAGTGGAGTCAAACTGCATTAATTCTACAGTGCAGATGCACCCCCAAATGTAGTCTGAGCTATATCAAGCTAGAAGATGGTAATGTTTTACTGACAAATCCCTTATTTCTTACTACAGAGAGCATGTGTCTTTGTGTAAGACTTTGTTTTAAATACTTTTGCAGATTTCAGATTAACTACACAGAATATGACTGCAAGAGAAATGATGTTTGTTGGCCGGAGCTTTTTTATCCCTTGACATCTTACTACACTGGTAAGAATACAGAGTTGTTTACAGTTTCTTTACAGTATAAAGTTTCTTTATAGCCGTGATAAGGAAAGTGTGGCCCTCAGATGCTGGACCTTGGCTCTGGCAATCCTTACCACTTGACTGAGTTGGCTGCTGATGGGAATAGTAGTCCAGCTTGTATTTCTGCTTACTTCCCAGATCACTGTTAAAGTATAAGGAATGCAGTGCCCTCGGTTTCAGACTCTTTAAGTCAAACTGTTTCATATTTTATTTTTCAGAAGAACCATACTCCCGCTCTCTTGCCAAAGGACTGTTGCTGATCTTTTTTATTGTGATTGCGGTGGTGCTGAGTGCTCTTTGGAGGTGAATCAGCAAAGTGTGGAATAAGCCATGAGTGTCTTTTCTCAGAAGTCAAGATAGCTATTTTGACGGCCCTTTTCTATACTTTTAATAAGTGGTGTTTTTATAGAATTTTATAGAAAGAAAAAATGTTTGTATTTTTTTTCTAAGAGGAGAAACATTAAAATAAAACATCATGTATTTAAAAAAAACGCAGCAGTATTTCTGATTTTTTAAAAAAATACGAAATGAGCCAGTTCAAGTTTTAAAGGAAAGGTAATACTATCTCAGTTATGTGTCTTACCACTTGAAGTCACTTCTAGATCAATCAAAGTTGTTTCTGCATTCATTTTGTCTTTTCAGAATGGGAACATTGACAAGTAATAACTTGGTCTTAATACTAAAATTCATAACTTTGATTTCACCTTTCCTTTTCTCTGTACCTTTAACTCCATCTCTGCCACTGAGCAACATTCAGGGTGGTTCAGAGCAGTCTAGGAAGTTTTGAGGAAAGTAAGAAACAAATGTGCCAAATGGCCAGAGATTTATTCTTGTTCCCTGGCACATTGGGGGAAAAATACTGTGCCCACCCCCAATAATGAGGTTGAGCCCCCCCCCCCCCCCGGTCAAATTAACAAAGATAAAATACTGGAACTGTAGCAGGAAGACCTGTGGGGAGCAGTAGCCCAAAGCTTAGCTGATCGGCGATGCAAACTAGCAGAGGAGCCCAGCAGCAACTACCAGCACCCTGGATACTTTCTTTCCCCACTTATTACAAACTAACACCTTCAATAGATGTGCATTGCAGTGCGTTATCCTCATATTTGATTCTTTGCATCCTTTTTGCCTATTGTGTCCTTTTCTCTCCTTCCTGTCTTTGGCAGCTGGCCCTGGTAACTACTTGGCCTCATGGACCCCATAGCCCTCAGAGTGGGACTCCCTTCTTTCTTTCCCCCTGGAATGTAACCTCCCTTCACCCCAACTAACCCTAAACCAACCTTTGCCCCTGTGGATACCCCAGTTCCCGTGATTGGGCTCCCCCGGTATCCACAGACACCCTTTTGTGTATATAATATAATATTTTATGGGTAGCTGTAAGTTTTTCAGGCTGTATAGCAATGTTCCAGAAGCATTATCTCCTGATGTTTTGCCTGCATCTATGGCAGGCATCCTCAGAGGTTTTGAGGTTTCACCAAGCCCACTTGCATGGACAATTTATTTATTTATCGTGTCATCAGCAACCAGACATTTGTATTACATTTTTAACAAAAACAAACAGACAAAACACAGAATTTGCAAGCTTGGTAGTTGATTAAATGTCCTTTGACCAGTATCTGGCCACTTGGAGTGACTCTGGTGTTGCCGCAAGATGATCCTCCATTGTGCATGTGATGGGGCTCAGATTGCATTGCAGCAGGTGGTCTGTAGTTTGCTCTTCTCCACACTCGCATGTTGTAGATTCTACTTTGTAGCCCCATTTCTTAAGATTGGCTCTGCATCTCGTGGTGCCAGAGCGCAGTATGTTCAGTGCCTTCCAAGTCGCCCAGTTTTCTGTGTGCCCAGGAGGGAGTCTCTCATTTGGTATCAGCCATTGATTGAGGTTCTGGGTTTGAGCCTGCCACTTTTGGACTCTCGTTTGCTGGGGTATTCCAGCGAGTGTCTCTGTAGATCTTAGGGAACTATTTCTTGATGTTTATATGAAAATATGAAGAAAAAAGCCACTGTTTCATAAAACCAGCAACCAGAAACTATTTCTGGGGGACATGAGAGAAGCCTCCTCGCAGGATTGCAAGACATCCGGGTGTCCACTGGGCAACATTTTCGTAGACGGCTGATTCTCTCGCTCCATAAGCGACCAGATGCATGGACAATAAGAATAAATAGCTCTTATATAAGATCAGACTTCGGAGGGCGAAGCCAGACCATCTGGGAAGACATTTAAATTACTCATAGACATTTAAATTACTCAACACAAAGGGTGTCTTCCTATCTGCAAGGAACCAGGAATTTCACCACAGCCTTTCCATTGTGTCAATCCCAACCGGCTGAAACCAACCTCAAACTTCATCTATGAACTCCTTATCCCAGGACTATAAGACAAAGGATCTAGCCCTGTGGGGGTAAACGAAAAATGATGATTCAAAGGACTAAAACAATAACTCTGATCTGACTTGAGGGCTTAAGCTATTGTTGGGTCATTTGGCCTACACTGGTCACCCTAATCCTGACAACTAGATCTCCATTTGTTTCTCTGTTGCCCGCCTCCCCCCTCATTGTCTGAACAGCCAAAGCAGGGCTCAGGCTGCCATTGGCTCTCCTGCTGGCTTGCTGACATTACAGCCAATCATAACAAAGCCAGCTTTTGGGAGGGGGGGGGCATGGGAACTTTTGAATCTGAAGGCTATAAATATTGTATCTCTCTGCCCAATGGGCATATCGATTTTGTTGGCAGGCTACTGTAATCGTCATCCTTTCCAGCTGGAATGAAATAAAAAGCCTCAGTGGCTTTCTCTTCAACTTGGTGAGATTTATTCTGGAATACTGGCTTCTTTTCTCACCAGGCAACCACAATGGTTTGGATCTTGCTATCCTCAGCCATCTAAATTGCTCGACAACAAGACTCCCAATAGCAGTGTTTCCCAACTTCTATGGAGCCCCTGGTAGCGCAGTGGGTTAAACCGGTGAGTTGTTGTACTTGCTATCCAAAATATCACAGGTTCAAATCTGGGGAATGTTGTGAGCTCCCACTGTTAGCCCCAGCTCCTGCCAACTGAGCAGTTCGAAAACATGCAAATGTGAGTAGATTTACTGCCTTGGCGGGAAGGTAACAGCGCTCCATGCAGTCATGCTGGCCACATGACCTTGGAGGTGTCTACAGACAATGCCGGCTCTTCAGCTTAGAAATGGAGATGAGCACCAACCCCCAGAGTCCGACACGACTGGACTTTGTATTGTCTTTGTATTCTTTCTCCCATCCTGGATATTCCACAGATATATAAAGCCAATTTTCCCAGTTTTTAACATATCCCACAACCTCTGAGGATGCCTGCCATAGATGCAGGCGAAATGTTAGGATAGAATGCTTCTAGAACATGGCCATATAGGCCGAAAAACCTACAACAACCCACGACTGGACTTAATGCCCGGGGGAAAGCTTTACCTTTACCTTCCCAACTTCTAGCTCTTGGACTTCAACTCCCAACAGCCTCAGCAGCGTTGTCCAATGGCCAGGCATTCTGGGAGCTGAAGTCCAAAACACCTGGCGGTCTATTGTTGGGAAGCAGTGGGAGAGGAAAGGCTTGCAGGGCGTGCTTGGCTTCCAAACCGGAAGTGGGGCGTGAGGCCGCTCTAGCCACTTGGCCCAACTCGCGAGCGCCTCGGCCGGTCTGTCAGGGCGAACCGGAAGCGGCTGGGGCGGAGGGGGTCGGGTGTTCCTTCAGGGCTGTGCTCCATGGCCAGGCGGTCCGCCAGAGGAGCAGCGGCAGCGGGAGGAGAAGCAGCGCAGCGAGGCGGCGCGGAAGGGACGGCTGAAGAAGAGAAGGAAGAGGGCGCCGCCGCCGCCGCTGCTGCTTTGCTGTTCCAAGCCGCCCCACCATGAGCTCGTCGTTCCGGAGCGAGCCCATGTGCCTGGCGCAGCTCTTCCTCCAGGCGGGCTCGGCCTACGAGTGCCTCAGCGCCCTGGGCGAGCGCGGCCTGGCCCACTTCCGAGACGTGAGTCCCCTTCCATGTTGACGCCAGTCGGGGGAGTCCTGGGAGTGGGCGTTCGACAAGCTCTGGCCCCTCCTCTGCCGCAGGGCCCTCCCCGAACTACAACTCCCACCACACCGTCCAGCCCTGGCCCTTCAAGGGACGTTAATCTGCATGAAGCCTCCCGTGTTTGCTGACGTGTGTCGCGGCCCAAGAAGCCGCTTCCAGCGCTTCTCTCCTGCCCTCTGACACCGCTTTAACTTGCATGGTTGCAGGAGATAGGAGCCTGGTCGATCCTTTTACATATGGTTTCTAGCCTTCTCAGATAATAATCCACATTATCTACTTTCAATTGGATTATCTTAATCTACAATGTCATATCATCCTATTCGAAGCAGATCACCTGCCTTTTATATAGCAGTGTAAGGCCCATTCTAAACTGCTCCCATATCGCAGGATCTGATCCAGATTATCTTCTTATCCCAGATTATCTGGCAGTGGAGACTCAGGCCCCTTCCACATAGCTGAATAAAATCCCACATTATCTGCTTTGAACTGGGAAATATAATCTTATAATTTATATAAATAAAAATGTAATGTTAACATAACTCAAAAACCACTGGATCAATTGACACCAAATTTGGACACAATAAACCTGTCAGATCAAACAATGACCATCACTCATAAAAACACTGAAAGCACAACGGAAGGGACTTTAAAAGCCAAAAAACAATTACATTACAATGCATGCGCAAAACCATATATATATATATATATATATATACACACACACACACACACACATATACACGCAAACATACATATACACACATACACAAATATATACACACACAAATACACAGACTGGGCCACAGCAACACATGGCACAGCTAGTAAATAATAATAAACTATATTTTATTTATACCCAACCACCATCTCCCCAAAGGGGAATCGGAGCGGCTACGGCAATGTGTACTCAGATAACCCAGTTCAAAGCAAATGTGAGATTTTCTGCCTTGGTATTCTGGGATATAGGGCTGTGTGGAAGGGCCCTGACCCCCCTTCCACACAGTTGAATAAAATCCCACATTATTTGCTTTGAACTGGAATATATGGCAGTGTGGGCTCAGATAACCCAGTTCAAAGCAGATCTTTTGGGATTTTCTACCTTGATATTCTGGGTTATATGACTGTATGGAAAGGCCCTCGGTTATATGGTTGTGTGGAAGGGCCCTATGAGTCTCCACTGCCAAATAGCCTGGGATAAACATAATCTGGGATCCAGTCCTGGTTTCAAGGGGCAGTGTGGAAGCACCCTCATATAAGCCAGTTGAAAGCAGATAATTTGGAATCAGATCCTGGGGTATAGGGCAGTGTAGAAGGGGCCTCTGGGCCCTTCCACACAGCCATATAACCCAGAATATCAAGGCAGAGAATCCACAATGTCTGCTTTGAAATGGGTTATCAGAGTCCACACTGCCATATAACCCAGCCCCCTCCACACAGCCCTATATCCCAGAATATCAAGGCAGAAAATCCCACAATATCTGCTTTGAACTGGGTTATCTGAGTCCACACCCAGATAATGTGGGATTTTCTGCCTTGATATTCTGGGATATAGGGCTATGTGGAAGGGCCCCCAGTTCTAAGCAGATAATGTGGGATTTTATTCGGTTGTATGGAAGGGGCCTCAGCAAACTGCAAGTGGAGTATTTTCACTAGGTTGAATCAGGCTTTCATGGGTTTTCATGGAATTAGCTGTGAATATTTTTCACCAGGTTAACATCTACTTTGATTTGATTGGTTGTAATCACAGTTCAAAAACAGGTCAATATAGCAGGTATTTTGTGCTGGTCATGGACCGTAATAAAGGTTTTGTTGTTGAATGGTTGTATGCTTTGTAGCTTTTCAATTTTCTATTGGATGTCTTTTCTTCTTAACAGCTATTTAAGAGAGATCAAGTGGGACAGAAATAACAATAACACTACGTAACACAATTTTTGTTCCTGGGTTCTAAATGTCATTTCCTATTTGGTTCTGTCATAAAAGGTGTCCTGGAAAAGATGAATTCAACTGCAAAAAATTTTATTTTTGTGGGAGGGACATTCTGCTATAGCACATTTTGCTCTAGTTTTTCAATGAATATCTCATCATCGAGTCTCAACCAAATCAACCTAGTTTGTGGCAGCCACAAAAATTAAGTTTCTGGAGTAGAAAAATTACTTTCAAAGTAAGGACCACACAATGAAACAGGGACAACACTTTCAAACCAGGAACCGAATTTTCTTTTTCAAAATTTGTTACATAGCAACAATAGTAATAATTGTAACTCCCAAGACTCAACAGCATTGAGCCAAGGCAGTTCAAGTGGGATAAAACTGCATTCGTTTGATAGTGTAGATGCGCCCCTTTGGTCCACAAACGGAGGGGATGTCCACGCTGTCCAATTAATGCTATTTGACTCCCCTTGAACTGTCGTGGCTCAATGCTATGGAATCCTGGGAGCTGTAGTTTGGTGAGAGACCAGCACTCATTGGCAGAGAAGGCGCAAGACCTTGTCAAACGGGATTCCATCAGATTGGGACTTCCCCGTTAAAGTGGTGTCAAACTGCATTAGTGTAGTTGCAGCTAAAGTCTCCGAATTCCCAGCAGGAAGTGGCCCAGCCTTTTTTTGAATGCACCTAGAGGCTTCACGATCTTTCTAGGCAATGGGCCATATACCTGGAAGTGAGTTCAATTTGAAATGAAGTCAGATTGTATTGTAAGACATTGTATAAGATCCAGTTTATTGATGTGCTGGTTTCATGTACTTGTAAATCCATCTACCACCTAGAAAATATAGCTGTGTTCTAGCAAAGTTTTATCATCCTATAACAGAAAGGGAAATGTCTTTTAGTTTCTGTTTCTGTTATGCAATCAGATGTTTAACTGACACCGTGATCATGACTGTCTGTTATGAATGGTATTATGAGGACAAAAGGACATTTGTTTCTTAATTATGTCTGTCCTTTTTCTTGTGCTTTCAGATACTGTTCAAAAAGTTGCTTCCATTGCTTCTTTTGGAATGACCGGGATCCATAATATGCCCTGGTTCATAGTAGTTTGAGTGAGAAATGTATAGTGTCTCGTTATTAATATCATATTACTTGCTTTGTTTTATGATTCAGGGTCCTTCCACACAGCCCTATATCCCAGAATATCAAGGCAGAAAATTCCACAATATCTGCCTTGAACTGGGTTATCTGAATCCACACTCAGATAATATGGGATTTTCTGCCTTGATATTCTGGGATATAGGGCTGTGTGGAAGGGCCCTCAGTCATTCCTGGGCTTCCTGTTTTGAGTTCTCACTAGGATATGGAATTAGGCTTCAGGCATTTAAGAAATATAATTTGCATGTTTTATAGATTATATGCCTGTTAGTATTGAGATATTGCCCAATTCTTGTTTTAGATCAATCTTCCCAAAATTGCACAATAGGTACAGAGAATCTCCTGTCTAACTTGGGAGGTTTGGCCTTTGGACTAATTTCAGTTGGAGGCTCCATTGATATGAATAGCATAAATTATTATTATTATTGATAATAATATATTTTTTATTATCTTGTTTTTATCTTGCAGCCAAGACACATTGAACCTTAACATATTATTGACAGATGGAATAAAAGAATTGACTTCAACTTTTTCTTTGACCATATACTTGATGTGCAATGGTGATACATAATGCCATAAGTAATAGAGAATGGCTAACTCTGTCACCCCTTTTTCCAAGTCAGAATTTTCAGAAACTGCTAAATCAAAGTAAATCTATGGCATGACAGGCAATGTTTCAGATTCCTCTTGAGAGCTATAAGAGGTACATTAAGGCAGTTATCACTCCCATGCACTTGTTTTTTTATGTAATTGGTAGTACATTGCATCTGTACATGAGATATCTATATAGCCACCATGAATATGCGACAGTTCCTTCCTCTAAAATAGAACCTATAGCACCTGGTGTGTGTTGTCAGTCTTCCATTAAAATATGAACCGGTCTGATCAGACAGGATCTGGTGTCTTTAGGCAATTCAGAATTCCATAAATTATGTATATTTTGTTTTCTATCTTTCTAGCTCAATCCAAGCACCAGTGTGTTCCAGAGGAAATATGTGAGCGAAGTGAAAAAGTGTGAGGAAATGGAAAGGATATTAGGTAAGCTTGAGAAGTATGGGGAGCTTGCTATGAAGGAAGAGAATCATCTCTGTTTTTGTTTCAGGGCTGTTTTATATGTGCCTTTCTTATAGTGAGAGATTCTGCTTATAGTGAGAGATTCTGGAGCCAGGTGTGGGAAGAGTCTGAATACTCCAAGAGCACTCAAAAAAGGAAAAAGCTGAGGTTCAGGACCAGTTCTTGATATACAAGGGCTCACATGGCCCAGCTTCATGCTGTCTTTACATATCAATTCAGCTATCAAGCAATTTGACCCACTGTACCCACTTCTCTCTTCCTTGGGTCAAATCCCTTTCTGAGTAATAGGATAAGCCTATTAACAAACCGTGTAACTAGAAGCTATTGAATTCCCCAACTCTGCTAAAAACATTACTCTGTGTTACTAATTGCATTTTTGTGTTTTTTGTGTAGGCACCATAGTTATAATCCTCAATATGTATTTGAAATGTTCTGCTATGTGACAATGTATTGTGCAAATATTGTAGATACCTTAAATTCAAGTTATTTAATTGTTTGCTCCATGAATTCCCCTACGCCATCCAGATTGGATTATAGTGATGTCTCTATGGAGGATAGCCCTTAGATGAGAAAGTTCAATTGGTTCAAAACACATATATCAGGAGAAGTGCAGGGATGATGTTGCAGAACACTTATCTTACACCAGTTATACTGGTCACCATTTTGTTCTGCTTCAGAGTATGGGATAGTTTTGACTTTGGAAACTATAAGTGGACTAAACCCAGATTATCTAATGAACCAACTTTGCCAGTACAAACCTACCATTTTAAGATGTGTTGTCTCAGGCTCTGCTGTCTGACCTTGCTTTCATTTGGTGACTGTAAAAGATAAGACCTTTCTTATAATGGCTCCTTGATCGCAGAATTTCATTTCAGATCAGTATAGGTTTTACTTTTAAACATATTTTTAGCAGTGCTGTTATATACGTAGTAGGCCCTTGGTATCTATTGGTTCCAGGATTCTTCATAGATGCCAAAAAAACCCCAACCTCTGGATGCATAAATCTAATTATATACAGTATAGTAAAATGCGTCCCTTATTTAAAATGGCAAACAAACAAGTGCCAGATAGGTCTGTGAAATAGTGGGAGGTTACAGCTGGAGTGTTTGTTGTGCAACAAAATCAAGTTTTGCTTTTAGAATGTATTTTCCCCTCTGATTTTTTTTGAGTTGTGATTGGTTGAATCCATGCAGGAGCCATGGATATGAAGGCCCAGCTGAATTTTATGGTTGTACTTTGGTTTTATTGTGGGCTTGGTAAGCTACATTACAAACCTTTCTCAAAGGTGATGTGTACATTAATTGAATTGATCTGTGACAACAGTCAAGATAGCTCAGCTTCCTTGCCATGGCAAACTGCTGTTTCATGGGTATTCTGTGTAGAGGATTAAACAAGGCTTTCCCTTGCCTGATTAAGGGACCGAGTGATCTTTGTAGGTAAATACCTTTTTGTTGTTAGTAAGGTGTATATCCCACCCTGCACAATCATAAATCCATGACAGCATTCCAAACATGTAAAACAAAATACAATTGGAAAAAAAATCAATTATCTGAAAACTACTGGCATATAAGAGGAGCACAAAACCTGTTCATCTACAAATAAAAGTTGTTTTCAGATGGAACTGTGAGAGTCAGAAGATGAGCATTAAAAGGTTTATTTTCCAATATTCCTGATGTTTTCCTGCATTCTGCCTTACAAGGAAGCCCTGAGCCACTTTGATTATGTACACATATAATGCCATAGTAAGGCCTGAAAAGTCTGAGCAGTGCTTGACAAACACAGTTCAGCATCCTTTGTAGTGCAGAGAAGACAAATTGATATAGTTAAAGTTCTTCAAGGACCAGAACTTTGAGTGCTAACTGTTTTTGAGGGTTGAAAAAAGCTTTTGATTTCTCAGGGAAAAAAAAAACATCTTTTGAGTTATAATTCCCTCTTTCTCCTGCTTCCCTTGCTTACAACAGCATACCTGGTGCAGGAAATTAAGAGAGCAGACATTCCTCTTCCAGAAGGCACTGTTACTCCGGCTGCCCCTCCGCTTAAGCAGATGTTGGAAATCCAGGTAAAGACCCACAGAGATGTGGTGTTAGGTTTCATGTGGCCTGTAGAGCACATGGAGCCCACCAGGATTTTAGTGGCTTCTAGCCTTCTGCAGACCCCAACATTTTGGTCAGAAAGGAAATTGAAACCTCTGGAATCAGTGGTTCTCTTTTGAAACAAAATGTGGTGAATGTATAATTTTTGAGAGGTTTGATGCAGCTTGCAGCACTTCCTGGGAGCCACAAAGTCAGCACCCTAGCATAGGACAACAATCATATATAGATAATGGATTAAATACAGTGATGCTATCATGTCCTGGCTAACTCTGGTTCATAAAACAAACACTCAAATGTTTTATTCAGAATGTAGACTAGATCTCAGCATATAGTTGTTAGGAAAGACTTCAACAATTTTCTAATTTGTCAACTATTTAAATGAAAGAATTCTACCTTTATGAGTGCAATTGTCTAATTTGTCAACTATATTGAAGGGAAGGAATTTAACCTTTACTAGCGTTAGTGCCCAATTTGTCAACTAATAAAATCATTAACTTTTTCAGGAGTTATTCCTCCTCCCCCTGTGTACACTTTCTCTCACAAGAATGAGCTTGATAGCTTCAAGCCACTAGTTTTTATTCTCTTTCAGCCATAAATCCTCACATGATAAACAGTCCCAGGTTGAGGAAGAATGTGGCATACCTTATCATCATTAATAAACATAGTAGATACAAAGCATGGCAACTAGCATGCCAAAACTACTTATACAGTCCGCAGTTACTCAAGGCACGTATAAGCATTTTAAAAGTTGAGAGTAAAGCATGAGTGGACCCATAATCTTGACACATATGCTTGGAATAGTATATAAATTGCTGAGCCAGTGATATAAGTGCAATTTGATGATTTTGCAATTTTTAAGCTAATGTTTGGTACTTGGGGGTGTCTTGTTTTTCTGCATTATAGGAGCAGTTGCAGAAGCTGGAGGTGGAACTGAGAGAAGTAACCAAAAACAAAGAAAAGCTGAGGAAAAACCTGCTTGAGTTGACAGAGTATACCCATATGTTGCGGGTTACCCAGTCTTTTGTCAGAAGAACTGTTGAGGTACTGCATATATTGTGTCAACATACTTTTGAACATTTTAAAGCTAGATAGGAAGAAGGTAGGCTTTGAACCCCTGACTGTTCTCCAGTCACACACCAAGTGTTTGATAGCAGGTGAATTCCTAGAAAAAATGCTGGCCTGGTTGGATCTAATTGTTCTCCTGCAAAGTGCCAAATTGGGCACACAATCTTGTTGAATTGGATCCAAATTTAGTCACACTTCCTGTAGACTCACTTAAATCAGGAAACTCATGTGAGTCATAATTTTCATTGTTTTCCGATCGTGGTCCCTGTGAATTACACATATGGTATTTCCTGTGCCTGCGCAGACAGTTCGGAATCTTCTAGAAAACTTATTAGACACTTTTAAGTGGTAGCCCCATCCACTCTCTCCTTGAGAGTATATATAGCCAGTGGGTGGGGTTACTGCTTCAGTTCCTTTCATCCACCGCTCTCGCAGCAGTTAGGGAATCTTTCTCTCATTTTTATTTGACTAGCTTTTTTGGTCTGTGTTTATTTTCTGTTTTTGCTTCACTACGGCATACACCTTGTTTCTGCTTCGTGGTTCTGGTATGTTACTCATTGCCTTCTTTATGAGGTGTTCCTTGTATGAGGGACTGATGCCCGAGATGGATGGGCGCGCCTGGGAGAAGGCTATGGGGTACAATCATGCTCCCGGACTGTTGTATCTGGGAGTGCAAAGGCCGTGTGTACATGAGCGTGGATTCAGTCTGTTCTTCGAGGCAGGGAATGCTTCGGTGCCGGCCCCATGCAATCTCTAAGCCTTTCACTGGAATGGCGATTACATTGGGGCCACCCACGGGCTCGAGGCTGGCTCTGGCATCCCTCAATGGCCCGATACCAGCCCTGGCGCTTCCATTGGGGCTGCCTACAGGCTCAATGCTGCCCCTGGTGGGCCCGTTACCAGCCTTGGCACCCTCCTCAAGCAAGCCCTATACCAGCTCTGGTGATCTGCTCAGTGTCGACCCTGTCGGTATCAAGCACTCCTGGCAGCCAGCCTCTGCAGCGGCACATAAGTCCCGTTAAAAGTACGGGAAACGCTGCGCCTTGGCTCAGCCTGCTTTGCAGCTGTCCTCCCTTCAGGGAGAGGTTGAGCTGGCCACAGAAGAGCACTACACCGGCACTGGAGAACTGCCGATCGCGCAGGCTACGCATGTGCATGAGCTGAACGCTCCATCCTAGACGCCGGCCCAGGAAGGGCAGCTGACACCCTCCATGCTGACCCTGTCAGGAGCCGCAAACCCTGATACCAGGAGTGCGGCTCCCAAGCCGGAAGCCTTCTCGGTGGGCCTCGCACCCACTCTTGCCACTCTGGAGGCCTTCCCCCTCACATTTGAGGGGCCGTTTTCAAGGCTCAAGTTTCTCTCTTTGGACTCGAGGAGTCCTTTCTGGGCTCCTCTTTTGGGTCACAGGTTCAAATCCGGGGAGAGGCATGAGCTCCCGCTGTCAGCCTCAGTTTCTGCCAATTTAGCAGTTCTAAAACATGAAAATGTGAGTAGATCAATAGGTACCGCTCCGGCGGGAAGGTAACAGCGCTCCATGCAGTCATGCTGGCCACATTACCTTGGAGGTGTCTATGGACAACGTTGGCTCTTTGGCTTAGAAATAGAGATGAGCACCAGTCCCAGACACAACTGGACTTAATGTCAGGAGAAACCTTTACCTTTTCCTTACATAATAATAATGATGTGTTTACTTGTTCGAAACCAAATTCAGTGATGGTGGGCATGACATAACCCCGTAAATCTAAAAAACCCATTTCAACTCCATTGGACAAGGAGAGCAAGAACATTGACTTTATGAGGTAACCATCTGGGGCTATTCCATGCCAGAGGTGCATGTTTCAACAGGCTTATTTACTGGCCTGGCCCGCTATGGGGCATAAATGGGGCCTATCAACTGTTTATGTGGTCTAAAATTACCTTCCTTGAAACGGATAAGAGGCTGAAACATAAGCAGGGACTGCATCAGGCAGCCCACAAATGTCTTCCCGATCAACCCTGGAATGTCCATGATGATGCTTTCGACTCTTGTACTCTTTCACTTGGAGCTTTGAGTATCCCTTTACATTGGGCTTTGAGTGTCCCCTTAATGATCTTCTGTGTGGAGCTTATTGTTGGGTGTCCTGTATTGGTTTTTACGCTGCTGGCCTTGGCCTCAGTCTGGCATGGGATAGTCCCAGATGGTTACCTCATAAAGTTGTATAGTCCACCAGCAGTGTGCTATTAGCGCTGGACACCTGCTTCCCCTCTCTGTGTGGGGAGGTCCAGACCTTGTTGCAGAAGGAGGTGGCCACTTGTATCCTTCAGTGTTCTTCCGTTGCTTTCACATGTTGCTCCTGAGTACCTAGGAGGAACAGTGGCTAACGTCCTATTCTGGACCTAGGGGACATCAACCGATACGTCCGTTCTCCCAAGCTTCAGATGATACTGTTTTCTATAGCCAATATCTGCATATTGATGGCTGGCTACTATTAGCTAAATCAAAACCCTACTTCCTTCTCATATCTGTTCTATGCTGTATTTTCTCAAGTCACTAGGTCTGGAGAGGTCACCTATGACCGCGATGCCTCATGCATGGCTCCAACTCCAGCCATAAAGGCATGTTTTTATTTGTCTCAAGAACGTTCCTCATACTTTCTTCAAGACCACAACAGGTGTGTCATCCTCTTTGATGGTCATCCCATCAAAGCAAAGTCTGTGTGGTTTGCCCTTCGGACTGCCAAACTCCTCCAGAATTCTAACCACAGTCTCCTCCCTTCAGAATTAGGGTACACATTCCTCATTGCCATAGGAACCTTGCCCCAGATGGAGGCCTCCAGATTATAAATCACTTCAAATTTTTAGCAGTCAAAGATACTTTGAAGATATTTGAACCATTTTTGTCGGGCTGTAGTTTAGGTCTTGACAGGCAACACTACCACGAAATTCTTATAATCAAGCAAGGTGAGACACATTTTTGCTTTTCTCATTAACCCTTCATCTAAGGGACTGGTGCGCTCACAGATGGACCCACCTTGTGGCTGTGCATCTTCCTAGAGACAAAAATATGCTACCTGTTCACCTGGACAGAATACCAGTCACCCATCACGAGTGGTCCGTCTGTCCTGACAAGGTGTGGTCTGTATTCAAACCATGAGGCAACTTAGAGATAGATCTGGTCATGATGAAGGGCAGCGCACAGTGCCCCAATTTTTCTGTGTGAGTCAGCCCCTAAACCAAGCACGGGGCTGTTTAAGGGGTGCTTTCTTCTGCTGGGACCCTTTGCTTCCTCTTTACATTTCTCTACTGGTTCCTCTTTGTATTGGGTGGTGTCCATACTGCAAATGGACTATCCTTCTTGCCCTGTGTTGGCCTCACCAACCGTGCTTCTCTTCCCTCCTCAAGATGTTCTGGGATGAGCTGGTGCACCTCTCAAATCGCTCAAATTTCCTTACGTCCCAAGGGGGCCGAGTCATCCACCCTGATGTCCATTGTCTGAGGCTAACAGCCTGGCACATACGTCCTATCAGTGTGTCAGACATGTTCCTATCCTTAGCACAACCAGTGAGGACTATCACTGAGACAGCCCTAAGAGCTCTACTAAGTGGTCTTGCATCTACCATGGACTCGGTTTCCGCCCTTTCCTCCCTGGGGAGGTTGACCTGTTTTTCAACACTGATCTTTTTCACTTGGAAACTTTGGCATTCCTTTTCAGATAAGGGCCTCTCCCCTCCCTCCTTGAAGTGCTACCTTGTGGCCATATCTCGCTTTAAGAGGAAAGTGGATTTTCAATCCTGTTTCTCAGACCTTCTGTTTGGTCTATTTCTTCAGGAGTTCAGAAAAATGAACCATAGCTTGGAGTTTGTGCTTTCTCCTTGACTAAGCTTCAATTTGGGCTGTGGCCTCTGCGCACATGTTCTATCAAGAAAAGAGCTTCTTAGCTCCATTACCTTGATGTGTCATGTGAGGGATCTTCACTCATTTTAGACAGATGAGCCCTATTATCATTCACTTGGACAAGGTTGTGACACACAATGACAGTAACCTTTCTAGCCAAGATAACCCCATACTCCCATATGTCTCAGGAGGTAGTTTTGCCAACCTTCTCCATAACCCTCCCTCTTCCTTGCAGCGAATGTCAGGAGGGCTTTGGCTTTTGATACACACAGAACAGCAGGGCTCAGGAAATCTTCTAAGTTGTTTCTAAAGTACTGGGAGGGTGCCAGTGGCCTCCCAATATTTCCGCAATGACTGTCTTTTTGGATCATCTCGGAGGTTTGTCTGGCTTATCAGTTGACTGGTTGCACTCTACCTGGGCAGATTAAGGATCACTCCACTAGATCTGCGGTAACCTCCACTGCTTTTCTGTGGGACTTTCTTCTGGAAGACCTCTGTTGGACAGATGTTTGGTGTACTCTGTTCACCTTCATCATGCACAACAGGATTTATGTCTGCTGTCATAAGGGTGTATTCTTTGACAGAGCAGTCCTCTTTGGTGGCATGACGCCCACCAGCCACATTAGTAGCTCGCTAGTCTACCATATGTGCGATTCACAGGGACCACGATGGGAAAATATGGGTTGCTTACCTGTAACCATAGTTTCCTGAGTGGTCACCTGTGAATTTGCACATTCCTGCCCATTGTCCCCGCTGTTGTCATGCCTCAGTCCTTCAAGCTGCTACTCGCAGCAGAGGAACTGAAGCAGTAGCCCCACCCACTAGCTATATATACTCTCAAAGGGAGAGTGGGCGGGGCTACCACTTAAAAGTGTCTAATAAGTTTTCTAGAAGATTCCGAATTGTCTGCGCAGGAGCAGGAAATACCATATGTGTGAATTCACAGGTGACCACTCGGGAAACTACAGTTACAGGTAAGCAACCCATATTTACATTTGGTCTGCCTTTTGAATGGAGGAAGAAGTATAATGCTAATGTCACATATTTGGAATCTTTGTTATCTGTATTCTTCCATAACTTAGTGCAACTAGAATGTTCTAAAATCTTCTTTTAAACTTTTGTTTCTAGATTGAGTCCTGTTTAAACACAAATTATGAAGAATTCCCAACCTTAGAAAGCGAGCCCTTAGCCGATTACAGCTGTATGCACAGACTTGGTGCCAAATTGGGGTAGGTAATGGGAATCTGTGATATTGAATAGTATTGCCAGGTGGGCGGATAGCAGCACTCGGTGTACTGCTCAAAACATTAGACAGGTCATCTTAAATTTGAATGGGAACATTGAATGCTGCTGGGGAGGTGTGGGTGGGATTTTGGGTAGGCGGGGAGGGTGAGGTTTAAATATCTTTATTGTATTTACTGTATTTCATCTGTAATTTAACTTTATATCCATGACACAAATATTTAATTTTTTTTAAAAAATGTGTATATACCTTGTTTTAAATTTTTATTACATTGTTTCATGCTATTGTTACCCACCTTGAGTCCCTATGGGAAGAAATAATAATGATAATATTGGTAATAATAATAATAATAATCTATATATATAAAAATGCTCTGTGCATAATGAGTACCTTAAAAACAAAAGAACCAATGAACGAAATCACACCAAATTTGGCAACAAAACGTCTCACAACACAAGGAGTGACCATCACTCAAAAAATTATGATTTTGTCATTTGGGAGTTGTAGCTGCTGGGATTTATAGTTCATCTACAATCAAAGAGCATTCTGAACTCCACCAACGATGGAATTGAACCAAACTTGGCCATACAGGACTCCCATGACCAACAGAAAACACTAGAAGGGTTTGATGGGCATTAACCTTGAGTTTTGGAGTTGTAGTTCACCTACATCTAGAGAGCACTGTGGACTCAAACAATGATGTATCTGGACCAAACTTGGCACAAGCACTCAATAAGCCCAAATATGAACACAGATGGAGTTTGGGGAAATAGACCTTGACATTTGGGAGTTGTAGTCACTGGGATTCACAGTTCACCTACAATCAAAGAGCATTCTGAACCCCACGAATGACAGAATCGGGGCAAACTTCCCACACAGAACCCCCATGACCAACGGAAAATACTTAAGGCCATCCAATCCAACGACCTTCACCAGGGCAAGAAAACATAATCAAAGCCCTCCTGACAAATAGCCATCCAGCCATAGATATAGATAGATAGATAGATAGATAGATAGATAGATATAATTATAGAAGCAACCGAAATAAATATAATTATAAATATAAATATAAATATAATTCATACACACACACATATAGTATCATAGACTTAAAAGGGACCCCTAAAGCAGGACAATGATATGTTGCATGTTCCAGGGTGGGCAAACCAGACACTCTCCACGTCAACACTGACAAAGAAACAGCAAGAAATACTGTTTACCCACAAGCATAAAGAAATTACATATTTTAGAAACCAACACTTTCTCATTACTTTATTTTCCAGATCAACAGACTGGGCCACAGCAACAGCAACGTGTGGCAGGGGACAGCTAGTAATTTATATATGTAAATATGTAGGATGGTTTTGGGAACACACAAGCTCATATCCTGCTACTTTATTAGCTTTTCTCTTCTGGTGTGTATTTATTTATTACTTTTATTTATTACTTTACTTGTATACCGCAGTTTCTCAGCCTGGCCGGCGACTCAACGCGGTTTACAACAAGAATAAAATCAACCACAATATACAATTTAAGATCAACAAAAGCATAATACACAATATTAGCACAACAATAGTTAACCCGATACAACTCATAACTAAAATCATGATCCAATTCGTCGTCCGATTTTCCAATTCCTGTAGTCATTCACATTGATTGCACTGTTTAACCGAATGCCCGTTCAAACATCCAAGTTTTTAGTCTTCTTCGAAACACCATCAGCGAGGGGGCTGATCTTACTTCCATAGGAAGGGCGTTCCACAGCCGGGGGGCCACCACAGAAAAGGCCCTGTCTCTCGTCCCCGCCAGCCGCACCTGTGAAGCAGGCGGGATAGAGAGCAGGGCCTCCCCAGAAGATCTTAGGGTCCTGGCAGGCTGATAGGCAGAGATACGTTCGGATAGGTAACTTGGGCCAGAACCGTTTAGGGCTTTATAGGCCAACGCCAGCACTTTGAATTGAGCCCGGTAGCAAATCGGCAGCCAGTGGAGCTGGTGCAGCAGAGGAGTTGTATGCTCCCTGCGCTCGCTCCTGTTAGTATCATGGCTGCCGAGCGTTGGACTAGTTGGAGCTTCCGAGCCGCCTTCAAAGGCAACCCCACGTAGAGAGCGTTGCAGTAGTCTAAACGGGATGTAACCAGAGCGTGGACTACCGTGGCCAAGTCAGACTTCCCAAGGTATGGGTGCAGTTGGCGCACGAGTTTTAACTGTGCGAATGCTCCCCTGGTCACCGCCGAAACCTGAGGTTCCAGGCTCAGCGATGAGTCCAGGATCACACCCAAACTGCGAACCTGCGTCTTCAGGGGGAGTGCGACCCCATCCAACACAGGCTGTAACCCTATACCCTGTTCGGCCTTGCGACTGACCCAGGAGTACCTCTGTCTTGTCTGGATTCAATTTCAATTTGTTCGCCCTCATCCAGACCGTCACAGCGGCCAAGCACTGGTTCAGGACCTCGACAGCCTCCTTAGTAGCAGGTGGAAAGGAGTGACAGAGTTGGACATCATCTGCGTACAGATGACACCGCACCCCGAAACTCCGGATGATCTCTCCCAGCGGCTTCATGTATATGTTGAACAACATGGGAGACAGTATTGAACCCTGAGGAACCCCACAAGACAAAGGTTGTGGGGTTGAACAGGAGTCTCCCAGTAACACCTTCTGAGACCGACCCTCGAGGAATGAGCGGAGCCACTGCAGAACAGTACCTCCAAGACCCATCCCCGCGAGGCGTCCCAGAAGGATATCGTGGTCGACGGTATCGAAGGCCGCTGAGAGGTCGAGCAGCACCAACAGGGACACACTCCCCCTGTCGAGCTCCCGGCGCAGATCATCCACTAAGGCGACCAAGGCTGTCTCGGTACCATGCCCCGGCCTAAAGCCAGACTGTGCCGGGTCCAGATAATCCGTGTCTACCAAGAATGCCTGGAGTTGTGAGGCCACCACACGTTCCAGGACTTTGCCCAAGAAGGGGATTGGAAACAGGCCGATAGTTGACGAATTGAGTGGGGTCCAGTGATGGTTTTTTCAACAGCGGTTTTATAACAAGTAGGTTCTTGTGGGTTTTTTCGGGCTATAGAGCCATGTTCTAGAGGCTTTATAACAGCTTGTTTTAAGCTGGCTGGAATTTTGCCTTCCCGAAGGGAGGCATTAACCACCACCTTCACCCACTCGGCCAATCCCCCTCTGGCCTCCTTCAGAAGCCAGGATGGGCAGGGGTCTAGGATGCATGTATGGTAATGTAATTCAAACCTATTTTATTTAGGTATTGTATTGTATATGTGTAGTTCGTATGCATAAAGTACATGTTGAACAGGGAATTCTAAATAGAATAATAGAATCCTAGAGCTGGAAGAGATTTTGTGGGCCATCCAGTCCAACCCCCTGCCAAGAAGCAGGAAAATCGTATTCAAATCATCCCTGACAGATGGCTATCCAGCCTCTACTTAAAAGACTCCAAAGAAGGAGCCTCCACCACACTCCAGGGCAGAGAGGTCCACTGCAGAACAGCTCTCACAGTCAGGAAGTTCTTCCTAATGTTCCATAAACGCCATATAATTCATTCTCAAGATGGTAGAGAGAAGCAATTCACCACAATTGGGTTAATCGTCGTATGCCAGCCCAACTAGTCAGTCTTTTTCATTAGGACCCCTACCCTTCAAACCAACAAAATTTCACTAAATGTGAAAAATAACAGATTTCATCTATGCTAAAAATTCTGCTCATTTCTCTTGTTAACGGTGGGATCAATTCGTTCATTGTTTCATTTTCACTGTTCCAGCAGAGGGATATTGAAGCACACTATTGCCTGAAACAAACATTACTTTTTAAAACAGCTCTGAATACTCAGCCTCCTTTCTGCCTTTGGTTTGCAAATGTAGTCCTGTTGTACATTTTGTCTTTTTAAAATATAGGTTTGTATCTGGCTTGGTTCATCGAGCAAAAATTGATGCTTTTGAAAAAATGCTCTGGCGAGTCTGCAAGGGATGTACAATCGTTTCTTATTCAGAACTGGATGAATGTTTACAGGATCCAGATACAGTGAGTAACCATGATAGATGAATAACAATGTATTTCTGTGTGATTGTTTTGGTTGGTGTGATTTTAATTGTTGTTTTTAATAATTAATTGTTTAGTTTTAATTGTGATTTTTTATTTGGTATATGTATGTGTGGCATCAAATTACTACCTGTCATAAGGCCGTCTTGCATCCCCTCCGGGGTAAGAAAGGTGGGATATAAATATGTTAAGTAAATAAGGTTAAACTTTTAGATCTGAAAGCAACATTTAAAATGGCAATCAACTTGTAAGTTATAATATGATTTAAAGTATGTTTGCTTTAAAAGTTACATCTTTAAAAGCAGGCTATGGCTTATTTATTTATTTATTTAGAGCATTTATATCCCATCCTTCTCAACCCCCGAAGGGGGACTCAGAACGGCTTACAATTGGCAGGCATTAGATGCCGAGAAAGAAACAGACTGTGACCGTTGTATGGGAGGCTGCCAATGTGTATCAAGAGCTGTAGGCTACTTTTCAGAGGCAGGAACTGGCAAAACTATTTCTAAGTATTCTTTGTCAGAGAAAAAAAAAACTTATGAAATTCATGGAATTGCTATTAGTCAACAGGCAACCTGAAGGCACATCCATTCATGAATCTTCCCAGACGCACTGGCTGTGGGTTTATTGTTTTATGGTTGATTGTGACAAGGAATTAGTAGAATGAGTCAGAGGCTTGTGTATTGCCGTCTTATCATTGAGGGGTTTGGAAGTGTTTACTTTGGTTTTCATTTGCTGCAGCTTGTTTCATCCATAGCTGACAAACTGGCTTGCAATGAGCATTGCTCATGTTGACTATAGATCAGGTCTATACAACTTGCATCCCTCCAGATGTTTGGGCCTCCAACTCCCAGAAGCCCTAGGCAGCTTGTCCAGTGTCCAGGAATTCTGGGAGCCAAAGTCCAAAACACCTGGAGGGCTGCAGGTTGAAGAGGCCTGCTATACATTATTCGCTTCAGTCAAAATGCTGTACTTAATCAGAATCAGTAGGGAAGGCTTCAGAGCTCCTGCTTGTAGCCACATAGAAGAGAGAAGCATGTGAACCAATAGCCTGTTGTGCCTTTCTCATGTCACTATCAATCGGTGATTTCTAAACTCTAGTCCTCCAGGTGTTTTGGACTTTAGTTCCAGAATGCTCTGCTACCTTGGCTAATCATCAGGGATTCTTGGAGCTGAAGTCCAAATCACCTGGAAGACCAGGGTTTGGGAAACACTGCATACAATTGTTTATTGTAACAGTAGCATGGCACCACTAACCGACTAACAAATTTGCCTGGTGTTTCCCAATAAGCATGTATTTTTCTCCTTTAAAAGTTTTTTTTAATTGCCTATTAGTTCTATAGTAAATGGTTGGCAAATCACTGATGTAGTGAAATTGTAAACCAACAGCCATTTGTCCTTCGCTTTTCAGGGAGAACCTACCAAGTGGTTTGTTTTCTTGATATCCTATTGGGGTGAGCAGATAGGCCAAAAAGTTAAGAAGATATGTGATTGGTAAGGATTGATCTTATAGTTCATATTTGATACTATTCTTCTGCATGGTCGGAGAAAAAGCCAGCTGTTACCCCCTAAAGGTCATTGGTGGAGGTTGCAGGAAAGATCCAGCTCTTATCCCAAGAGGCCATTAGAGGGTCATGGGAAAGAGCCAGCTGTTACCCTAAGAGGCCACTAAAGGGTTGCCTTGGAGACCTAAATCAACCAGATGTGCTTACTACCCATGGGACAGAGAAAATACTTATTTGTGTTTCAGTCTGGTGATATAGCCATCCCTACACTTATTTTTATTAATAAAATACATTTTACAACCCTGCCTCTTCTTCCTTTGATTTTTAAATATTAATATATTTCTATTTTTGGTGGCCAGCTACCATTGTCATGTTTACCCATATCCCAGCAATTCGGAAGAGCGGCGAACAGTTATGGAGGGACTCCAGGTTCGCATTCAGGATCTTCACATTGTGAGTAAAGTGATGTTGATTTTTTTTCTAACCAGGGAGGCACAGAAAACTATTTCATATCATGAAGATTGTTAACACAAGTTATCATGGCTCAAGAGAAAAGGATACAAACAGTTTTCATCAGTATGTGTTGAGATATAAATCTGGGATAACCAGTTTCTGTATTCTTGTAATGGGAGTACTTATGTTTTCTGAGTGGTCTTTAGAGCAGAAATTTCCAAACTCTGTGTGTCACGACACAGTAATATGTCGCATGAAAAATGCCCCCCCCCTTGCCCCCAAAAAACTAAGGCTGTCTGGCTAAGACAGAGGAAGAGGAGGAAAAGAGAGAGGATGAGTAGGGACTCAGGAAAGGGATGCACAGAGTTAGAAGAAACCATGAAAGGACAACAAACAGACATCCAGCCACAGTTCAAAAACCTCCAAAATGTATCTGCAAAGTGTACTCTCTACCTATTTGTTACAATGTGAAAAAGTGTATTTTAATGGTGTGATTGCAGAAAGAACTAGCAGTTGTCTGTCACCAGTATAAATTCTGAAAGACCCACATTATTATTGATGCTGGTAGAGGGAAGGGGACCTATGGATAGTTTTTGTAAACATGTTCCTTTTGTTGATGTGAAGGACTTGCAAGCATGTATAGTATTTAATCTTTACACATCTAAAATGATAACATCCACAAAGGTGCTGCATAAAACTGAAGATTATTTGCGACAAGTTCTGGCTAAGGCTTCTGAATCAATCTACACCTGGGATGTCCAAGTGAAGAAGATGAAAGCCATTTATCATGTGCTGAACCTCTGCAGCTTTGATGTCACCAACAAATGCTTAATCGCTGAGGTCTGGTGCCCAGTGTCTGACCTCCCAAACATGCGCCGAGCCCTTGATGAAGGATCTGTAAGTGATTTAATTCACCTCAGAGGGAATACATTTGAGGATTTTAGAATTATGGTTAAATCATTCCTCTTTCTTTATAATTAGAGATAAGGGGGATATGTGTGTTCTAATAACTAATTATAGTTGAAGTCTAGGATCTAGTGAAACTTAAAAGAAGTTTGACTATAGTCCATTAGGTCTCCTTGGATATATAGATGGGGTGTGTGCAGACAATGACTGTTGAGCAGTGGTTCTCAACCTGTGAGTCCCCAGGTGTTTTGGCTTACAACTCTCGGAAATCCCAGCCAGTTTACCAGCTGTTAGGATTTCTGGGAGTTGAAGGCCAAAACATCTGGGGACCCACAGGTTGAGAACCATTGCTGTAGAGGAAGCAAAAGTATATTGTTGGCTCCACAAAATATACTGCTAATGTCTGTCAATCAGTAGGTTTTTGTACCAGCCTGAGACCATGACAAAAAGCTACAAATGTACAGAAACGTACATTCAGAGTAAATAAGGAACAGAAGACACTAAACAAAGGTTATTATTGTGCCTGCACAAAGAATAAAAATGTTATAAATGTCAGCTAAATTACAAATAAAATGTTGTGGAGAAGTCTTATTAGTCCCTTAAGTCTCCATGACAGTTTATGACGATTTTATCTAGCTTTTTCTTTCTGATCTTTTTTGAAGCCAAGGCAAAAAGGGCCACTTTATATGATACACATTCCTTGGAGTCACTCAGCAAAAATTGAACTGATTCTACCAGAGAGTTCCCATTTTCATTTGTCAGCAAGGGTTTCAGAAAGCTTTCCCTGGGGTCACTATACAGAGGACACTTTAACATATAATGCACAGTGTCTTCCACCTGACATTAGCTACAAAAACATAGTCTGTTTTCCAGTGGCGCTTTATTATAACATCCATCTAACACTGCAGTAAGAGTTACGTGGAATCTCAGTTCAGTAAAGGCAAGCCTTAAGGAGAGTTGCTTAAGGTTGATCAGATATCTGACTTTATAATGTTCTGTTGATCGGATATGTAACTCTACAATGTTTTGTTTTCAAAAAGGTGATTCATGGGGAAAAATTTGAAAACTCTTAATTGTAGATCCCTTCTTGACTTATATATTGCAAATAGTAATAGAGGTCAGCATTGTTTAATTCTGTACACAGAGAGAAAGCAGAGCTTCTGTCCCATCGTTCATGAACACGATACCAACGAAAGAAACACCTCCAACACTGATACGCACCAATAAATTTACCTCTGGATTCCAGAACATTGTTGATGCTTATGGGATTGGGAGCTACAGGGAAGTAAATCCAGGTGAGTAATTCATAGATTGAAAAACGTAGATTGAAACTTAGGATGTATTTATTTATTTACCATATTTATATCGTGCCTTTCTCTACCCTGAGGGGGACTTAAGGTGGCTTACAATCACACCTCCATGGTGCCTTAAAACATACAACATCAGTTAAAATGTAAGTCAAAAAATAAAACATAATAAGCATAATAAAAATACATTTCAATGAATCACGTCATCACGATTTAGCTTGATCCCACTCTCTAGCCTGAAAACGGGCCTCAAGATCTAATTCTGCAATCTTGACAAAGCATGGATAAAATAACTGCTGTTTAATACTTTTTAGCGCTAGCGAGAACGCAAAAACAAATGTCTTCTCATTCAAACGTAAATTATAATAACAGAAGTTGACGTCTGGGTCACATCCTGTTCAAAAAAAGATCTCTTCTGTGCATAAAAGGATCTATAGAAGACAAAAAGGTGGTGAACGCTGAGGGTTTGGAGAGGCTTTTGGGGATGTTTTCCCCCATTTTTAAAGGATATGGTCCTCCAAATTTCTCCTGGGTGGTAATTGCAACCTCCTTACTTCCCCCAAGTTTACTACCTCTGCTTAAATAAACAAAGACGTTGTTTCAATTGTAGTCCAACATTTGCAGTCATATGTCTCCCAGTCTTGTGTTGGGGACCAAGGTGATTTTGAGGAGGAAGTCAAAGAAACAGAAATGTGGCTGGATTTATTTTGTTGGTCAAACCTATATAGATTAATCTTTTAAATATATCTATCATTTCTACCATAGACATAGCCCAAGCTTAATTTCAATTTAGCATTATTGAAGTACAGATGGTGAATAGGTTTTGCTTTCGGTTGGAAAGAATGTTCAGTCAGTTAAGTGGTTGATTTATTCATTTGTTTGATTGAATTCATTTTCCCAACTGCCTTGCTGTCTTCTTGAGAGCATGCAGGTGAACCCTGACAAACTGGCATTGTGGCACATTCATGTGCACGTACCTAAACCACTGTAAATGTTCTCTCCCTTCCTTCCACATACATTTTTTTCAATTAGCAACAGTTTCTTGAAATCCCAGGAAGAAGCTTCTGAGGAGTGTCATCACAGTCCTCATTTCCCATACCGGTTTCCCCCCTTGCTGAAAACAACCTTGACCCAAGGACTTCCTCTTCCATGCTGTCATAGTTGACTTGACACTTTGGCAGCTTTCCTCACTAGTAGTACAGGAAGATGATTGAGAATATTGATATTGCACGTGGTGATTGCTATGTAGCAATGCTTGTGATACAGCAGAACTCTTGTCCCTCTAATTTTACAGCTGTGTTCACCATTGTCACCTTCCCCTTCTTATTTGCTGTTATGTTTGGAGATTGTGGGCATGGCTTCTTAATGTTCCTGTTTGCATTGTTCATGGTGTTGTTTGAAAACCACCCTAAACTTCAGCGATCACAAGATGAGGTAAGAAGGAACTTGGCTTTTCCCCCCCACTTACATGTGAATATGAATGAACTCCTATTAGTTCTTGGAGAGGTAGATAGCAGGTGGTGGCACATTATTGTCCTAGTTTCTAGAACAGTGGTGTTCAACCTTTGGTCCTCCAGGTGTTTGGCACTCCAACTCCCAGAAGCCCTGACCAACTTGTCCAGTGTTCAGGAATTCTGAGAGCTAAAGTCCAAAACACCTGGAGGACCAAAGGTTGGACACCACTGTTCTAGAGCCTTTGCCCTACCACTGGTTCTTGTCAGCTTTTCATTTAGGAAAAAAAATCTATGGACAATCGCCCAAGTCCACTCAGTTTTTCCCAATAGTAGTTTCATTTTTAGGTCTGTTATGCAGTAAATTGAAGTAGGTGGAACCTCCCAGTTTCAATTGATACAATAGGTCTTCAAGAAGGACCCAAAACACACTGATTCACCCTTGCTTTCTCTAAAAAGGATTTTATAGCTCTCTTGGTTATCTGATGAGACTTATTGGTAGCCATAAGTCTGTGTTGAATGGTGCAGTTTAATGTACATTTGTATTTCCTAAAACCATCGAGAAGTCCAACATCCTGCCACAATGAGGCCAACCTACTAACAACCAACGTGTGGTTGGCATTGAGCGGTTGACAGTGTTGAAGAATGCCTGTATTGTAAATCCAGTTCTGTCTGGCTTCTGCAACAAAAAGTGACTTTGGAAAGCGGAAATGTCCTGTCTTAGTGCATGATAGTAAAGAAAAGTTGATTTTCATTTTGCTGTGCTTCAGGTTCATTTAAACAAGGCACACAGTGCTTATAAAATACATATCTTGTTTAATTTCTTTTCTTTCATTGAAAAAATGAATATGAAATACAATTTATGAAATCAGCAAAGTTTACAAATTAACGTTGTTGCAAAATATGCATATAGTGTACTGGATAAAATCTTTCCTTCAGAATTAATGTCTAATTCAAGCAAGTACTCCATATATGACCATGAATAATTGGGGCTTGTCTTCTTGGGTCTATTGATTGATTAGCAGAACGAATTCAGTGTATATCTTTGTTAGAAAATAGGTCAACATTTTATGTGTTTTGTATTTTATAAGAAGGATCTTATCTTTGATCTTGTCCTTTTGAATCTTTACAGATCATGAAAATGTTTTTCCAAGGCCGATACATCATTTTACTGATGGGTTTGTTTTCTATGTATACTGGCCTGATCTACAATGATTGTTTTTCAAAGTCATTCGCCATCTTTAGCTCCAGTTGGAATATTTCACAAATGAAGTGGCAGTGAGTAGCTTCCATGATAATAAAACAAATTGTTGTGTTCACATAGGCAGCTCTTATCCCCCCCCCCCCCCCAACAATGTGCAGCAACCTTAACTTCAAATAGTGCTTTTGGTATTGTTTTAATTCTGCATTTTAAATTTTTATTTAATATTTGAATATCTTTTTAAAAAATCATGTTGGTTGAATCCAGGGATCCAGAGCCCATGAATTGGAAAGGCCCACTGTATGTTAGATGTGAGTCTATTGCCTGTCAAACTCATGATCTAATTTTGAGTGTTTCAGACTCCTTGCAAATGCCTTTTATATGTGTGCAAAATAATAAATGACACAATGGAAGACAAAATACCAGGCATCAGTATGGTTTGAGATTGAGAGGGAGGAAAGGAGAAGCTTATTGGGAAAGTCTGTTTACTTTATGCCATTTACTTGTATGCCATTTTACTCTGGCGTACGTCATTTAGTGTACTTTGAATATTTTTAATAGGATGTCAACTAGCATATAACCTATTGTTAGTAGCAGTATCAGTATTCATGCCATAATTCTGTTATATGTGCTTTTAAAAAAAAAACCCTACAGAAATGAGGATGTGGAAGATAATCCTTATTTGACACTAAATCCAAATGTGACTGGAGTGTTCAGAGGAGCTTATCCATTTGGCATAGATCCGGTTAGTGTTTTTCCCTTGATTGTGACCTTATTGGAATTAATCGTTAATCTAGCCGCTTTACATTTTCTGTATATAAAATTTATGACTCAATTCCTAGCATCTCCAAAAAGGTTTGGGAAAGTTTCATGCCTGAAACCCTGGGAAACGAATATCAGTCAGTGTAGGGTTTACATTGTAGACAAAACTAAGCTATACAGAGATGTTTTCTCACTTGCTGTAAAGCAGATTAGGTTATTCCTAACTTGTTTTCTTTAGGAAATAATAGATGAATGTATTCATTCGAGAGCTAGGTGACATGTTCTATGAGTCACCATTACTCTTTTGTTACTCGGAGAGTGGTAGAGCTCATGGCAGGTCTTCTTTCTTGTACTTTTATTTGTAAAGTTCCATGTACAGTGATGGCACAATGAAATAAATACAAGAATAAATGAATAAAATCATCATCATCCTGGGAGCATGAAATGAATCCTTAGACTTCAAGAGCAGGCTGGGGGAAAGGAGTTTAAATAGGAGTATAGTGCATAAATAGGAGTATAGTGTCTAGATCCAGGGAAGTCATGCTACACCTCTCTTCTGCCTTGGTCAGACCTGGAATCACACTGTGTCCAATTCTGAGCACCGCAATTGAAGGGAAATGTTGACAATCTGGAATGTGTCCAGAGGAGGGCAACTAAAATGATCAAAGGTCTAGAGAATAAGCCCTATGAGGAGCAGCTTAAAGAGCTGGACATGTTTAGCCTGCAGAAGAGAAGACTGAGAGGAGACATGATGATGGCCATGTATCAAGATGTGAGGGGAAGTCATAAGGAGGAGGGAGCAAGCTTGTTTTCTGCTGCCCTGGAGAGTAGGATGCAGAACAATGGCTTTAAACTACAGGAATGAAAGAAGATTCCACTTGAACATTAAGAAGAAATTCCTGACTCTGAGAGCTATTCAGCAGTGGAACTCTCTGGCCCAGAGTGTGGTGGAGGCTCCTTCTTTGGAGGCTTTTAAACAGAGGCTAGAGGGCCATCTGTCAGGGGTGCTTTGAATGCGAATGACCTGCTTCTTGGCAGATGGGGTTGGACTGGATGTCCCACGAGATCTCTTCCAACTCTAGGATTCTATGATACTATAAAACATCTAGATAAAAGGCACACCATTCTGTTAAAAGCTCTTTCTCAGTAGCCATATAATTGTCAAAAAGCCCACCTAGCTATATTATAAAATCTAAATAATAATTATGTTTCTTAAAATATTGATATTGTATGTTACTTCCCCTCATAATAGTTGTTTTGTATTTATGGCTCAAGAATCATACTTTCATGGTTTTTTGTTTTATGGCTTTTTGGGCACTTTAGGTGTCCTGGTTTCAGTCCTCTCATTACTTTATTTGAGTCTACTGGGAGGAGGCTGGTAGCCATGCAGTGGGTGGCTTTTACAGTGTTCAACCTTATTTCTCTTATTTATTTGCAGTATTTGTATACCGCCCTTCTCAACCCCAAAGGGGACTCAGGGCGGTTCACAGTGACTCAGGATGGTTCACAGTTAGACAGTCAATTAAACATGATTTCTATTGTGTTCTCTAATACTCACTGAATGGAATGGATTTTGGGAATACTTATCATTTGAGTAAGATTTTTCATGGTGATATCTTACTAGATTCCCTAATTGCGCACACTGACCCAGTTTGCTCAGAAATGGGATAATGTGCATTTTGTGTTTTTCTTTTCCTCTCCAGATTTGGAATCTAGCCAACAATCGTCTCAGTTTCTTAAATTCCTTCAAAATGAAAATGTCTATAATTATTGGAATCGTTCACATGACATTTGGTGTCATCTTAGGGGGATTTAACCACTTGTAAGTACGAGAGTCAAGGGGAAAGATGTAGGGGTTAATTTGTGGATCTTGATTTCTCTTTGAAGTGGGACTGGCTTAGCATAGCTGCATATGTTTAGCCCTGTTTATTGAAATAATAATAATGTATTAAATTATTCAATTAAATTACATTCAAGGTTGGGCCCAGTCAATAATAAGTCCTTGTATATGACCTTATTGTCTATCCCACCAATCCCTAATTCCTACTGAAGTCACTGCATGTGGCTATAAATAACAAGGAGCCCATCTCTCGTTAGTCTTAGAAGTAGCAATAGTGGGAATGAAGCTGTTTGATACAATTTTACCAAAATAGTAAATGGATCAGCTTGGTTCTTGTTTGAATACTGTACACATTGTGTATTTCTGCCTCCACAAATTTTCTGTATGCAACTGATTTCTCCTGATTACCAAACTAACACGCATCTCCTTTTGTTATTTCATCAGGCATTTCAGGAAGACATACAATATTTATTTAGTGTTCATTCCTCAACTTCTGTTCATTCTGTCTACTTTTGGATACCTTGTATTTATGATAATCTATAAATGGCTGGCTTTCAGTGCTGAAAACTCCAGGTCTGCTCCAAGCATTTTGATTCAGTTCATCAACATGTTCCTGTTTTTTGGCAACGGGTCAGACGACATCCTTTTCCCAGGACAGGTTGGAAATCCTTCTAACTTAATAGCAGTAACAGAGTTCATCATTACCTTCCTTGTTTCTGATCTTACAGTCAGTGCTGAAATCTCTCTTGTTGAAATAAATGGGTCTTCTCTAATGCATCTGTATGGTCAACTAGCTGTCCCCTGCCACGTGTTGCTGTGGCCCACTCTGGTGATCTGGAAAATAAAGTAACGGGAAAGTGTTGGTTTCTAATATATGTAATTTCTTTATGCTTGTGGTGAAGGTAGTTGGACTGGATGGCCTTAAGTATTTTCTATTGGTCATAGGGGTTCTGTGTGGGAAGTTTGCCCCAATTCTATCGTTCGTGGGATTCAGAATGCTCTTTAATTATAGGTGAATTATAAATCCCAGAAAGTACAACTCCCAAATGTCAAGGTCTATTTCCCCCAAACTCCACCAGTGCTTACATTTGGGCATATTGAGTACTCGTCCCAAGTTTGGTCCAGATCCATCATTGTTTAAGTCCACAGTGCTCTCTGGATGTAGGTGAACTACAACTCTCAAACTCATGATCAATGCCCACCAAACCCTTCCAGTGTTTCCTGTTGGTCATTTGGACATATTGAGTATTTGTGCCACATTTGGTCCAGATCCATCATTATTTTAGTCTGCAGTGCTCTCTAGATGTAGGTAAACTACAACTCCAAAACTCAAAAGTCAGTGCCCACCAAACCCTTCCAGTATTTCCTGTTGGTCATGGGAGTCCTGTGTGCCACGTTTAGTTCAATTCTATCATTGGTGGAGTTCAGATTGAGAAGTCCTAGCAACTACAACTCCCAAATGACAAAATCAATTTTTTGAGTGATGGTCACTCCTTGGGTTAGTAGGTGTATTGTGTCCAAATTTGGGGTCAATTCGTCCAGTGGTTTTTGAGTTATGTTAATCCCACAAACGAACATTACATTTTATTTATATAGATAACCAAGGAGACATTTTCCATCTTTGTGAGACAAATGTGAAGGCTGCTTTAGATGCAGTTCATTCAGTTATTGTCTTGCTAGCAGGTAGTTGGCCATATAAAGCATGTTTCTGTTGTTTGTACCTTTTGAAACAGGTGATTGTACAGAGAATTCTAATAGCTGTTGCTGTGGTATCAGTTCCTGTGCTGCTTTTTGGAAAACCACTTTATTTATACTGGTTGAATAATGGTGGCCAAGGAATCGGAGCTTACAAAGTACGTATGAGAAACTACAGTCTATATCATCATGTCTATGCCTGATGAGCAAAACATTCCATCCCAAGTGCTGCTGTACTCTGAAAAGGATCTTCTCTTCCAGAAGGGTTACCGGTTAGTGCGAAGAGAAAGTGAAGAAGATATTGCTTTGTTGACAACACATGATGTTGAAGAAGGAAGTAGCACTTTGGATACCAGGCACAAAGATGAGGCGAAAGAAGAGGTGGGTCCACCTGCATGTATGCATTTTTTCACCTGCAGCAATGGTCTAGGGCAGACTTACAAAACCTGTGGCCAGATCTAGAGCCTAAAGTTGCGTAAAAGGAAGAGTTCAGTGATGGGGTAGGATTTTAAAATATACATTGTGTGCTTTTCGTATTACTATTGAAAACATTTTTCCCTTCGGAGGTTGCCCACTTTGACCTACAGGTTGCAACCTACTTCTTCAGTTCCCATTTTGAACCATATTATCTCCCTCTAGACACCGGAGCCCCCGGTGGTGCAGTGGGTTAAACTGCTTAGCTGCTGAACTTTCTGACCAAAAGGTTGCAGGTTCGAATTCAGGGAGCAGTGTGAGCTCCCGCTGTTAGGCTCAGCTTCTGCCAACCTAGCAGTTCGAAAACATGCATATGTGAGTAGATCAGTAGGTACTTTCTCTGGCGGGAAGGTAACAGTACTCCATGCAGTCATGCCGGCCACATGACCTTGGAGGTGTCTACAATCAACGCCTGCTCTTTGGCTTAGAAATGGAGATGAGCACCAACCCCCAGAGTCGGACACGACTGGACTTAATGTCAGGGGGAAACCTTTACCTACCTTTACCCTAGACTTTGGATTAATTTCTTAGCTCCATCATCCCCTAGAAAAAAGACTGTTTAGCTGAATGCATATTTCTCTATCATTTTTGCTTCCTCTGCAGTCCCACCTTTCTAATTTTTATCTCCCACTGTGTTAACATTTAAATTGTAACCACCATGGGTGAGGGATCGAAGACCTTTTATTGATTGCTCTCCATGCCAGTGGCTCTCAACCTGTTTTTCCCCAAGTGTTTTGGCCTACTACTCCCTGAAATCCCAGCGAGTTTACAAGCTGTTAGGACTTCTGGGAATTGAAGGCCAAAACATCTGGGGACCCATAGCTTGAGAAATCCTGCTCTATACAAAGCACCATGCATACTCCATAAACACGATCCTTTTCCGTTAGATCTTATGAAGCAAATAGTAAAACATTCTGTTTTCAGGGAATGTTTAGATTGATTTCTTTGCTTGTGTGTATCAACATATTTGCACAATTATTTTCTTGTAGTTTAAATTTTTAGATGTATTCATGGATCAAGTTATCCATACCATTGAGTACTGTCTAGGATGCATCTCAAACACAGCTTCATACCTGCGGCTCTGGGCCCTCAGCTTGGCCCATGCACGTAAGTATTTTGTATGCAATCTCAAATGTTCCATTTTTTTTAGCAGACGTGTAGGAAACCTTTCATTCTGTTGTAAACAACAAACATACTGCGTGAAGATCCATGGACGTTCAATTAAGGGAACCAGTTGTTTTCTTGCTCAACAAAGATGTCATGGAACTTGTTTTTTTTAAATCTGGAAATAAGCCATAAAGTATGAATCTTTGTTGAGCGTTGATGTATAGTTAAAGCATGGTATGGGGTATTGACAAGCTGGGACGCGTCCAGAGGAGAGCGAGTAAAATTATCAAAGGTCTGGAGACCAAGAATCCCTCTTGAGGAGCGGCTTAAAGAGAGGGGGTCTGTTTAGCCTCAGAAGAAAAGGTGGAGAGGAGACATAAGAGCCATATATAAATATGTGAAAGGGTGTCATGAGGAAGAGGGAGCAGGCTTGTTTTCTGCTGCCCTGGAGACTAGGACTCAATGGAGCCATGGGCCCAAGAAACAGGAAAGGAGATTCCACCTGCATACTAGGAAGAACTTCCTGACTGTAAGGAGAGCCCTTCAACAGTGAAACTCTCTGCCTCAGAGTCCGATGGAAGCTCCTTTCTTGGAGGCTTTTCAACAGAGACTGGATGTCCATCTGTCGGGTACTTTGATTGCGTTTTTCCTGCCTGGCAGGGGGTTGGACTTGTGACTTCTTCCAACTCTAGGATTCTGTGACACCCAAAAATCTGGTTTGTTCTGGATTTTTCTTCACTATCAGAAGCTTAAATTACTGTTCCGTGAGTTCAGATATCACAGGAAATTGGTCACTCAAAAGTGGAAGCCAGTGCTTATCTCATAGGGGAGAAGGTGTAGAGTCAATGGGTGAGCATACAGGTCCTCAAGCTTTCCATAGCTAGATGATGTAGTGTACACCTATAGTCTTCTGATGCATTTGAAGCTTGGTTTTAATCAAATGATTGTATCCTCAGCTAATTATAATGACTTGAAGAACTCTTTATAGTACACTTTTGGGAAAACTTTTATCCAGTAAGTGTACCCCATGCTAGCTCAATAAACCTATGAGGATACAGGTTGCTTTGTTTTAAGTGGGAGATGGGCTTTCTGGCTAAACTGAGTTTTTGTAAATTTTATTTTTAGAGTTAGCCGAAGTACTCTGGGCAATGATCATGAGAGTGGGTCTTCGTGTGGATGCAACGTATGGGATCCTACTGCTGGTACCAGTTTCAGCTTTATTTATGGTTCTAACAGTATTCATTCTCTTAGTCATGGAAGGCCTCTCAGCTTTTCTCCATGCTGTACGACTTCACTGGTACGTGTTTTGTTTCTAATTTTAATAAGATGGCTTGCTAGAAAAACATCTTTGTGTTTGAAAGATTAGATATAATGTTCTTGATACTAATTTTTCAATGTGAAAGTAATTTTTCTTACAGAATAAACATACCTGTTTAAACATTTAAAAACATATATAATATTTTCTTTTTTTGCCCACAGGGTAGAATTTCAGAATAAATTCTACGCAGGGGAAGGATACAAGTTCACACCTTTCTCCTTTCAAGACATTGTCTTACATTTTGATGGATATGTTACATAATTTGGTTGCATTTTTGGAATTGTTTGGGAACAATCATGTACCTAGATGTCATTCCTGTACAGAAAAGAGCATCACTGATTGCCTTATAATACAGCCAAGTACTCTATAACCTCCTACCTTGACTTTGCAAATGTGAGGTGTCTTGTAAACGGGCTTGAAATATGTGTCGCTATCTTGAGCACCCAGAAGTGAACTTAAAAGACTGATTTCGAACAGCTGACCGCTGCTTCTAAAAAAGATGTAGCAAATGAATCCCCGCAACACAATCCCTCCGCATGTTCACCTGGAAGCAAACCTCACAAACGTACAAAGGATTGCATTGTTTGTCTTCTTTGTCGTTGCCACTAATATTTCTGTCTTTGTCAGAAGTCAAAAGAGAAGGAAACTCTGCCACAGACCTGAAGGTGAAGTTATTTGTCTTTCAGTGTTTATAGGAATCTGTCTGGCTTGGTGTGATATGGAGCAAATATTTTTTTAATCTTCCCCTCCAGTTAGAACAAAAGCTTGTTCTATTTTGGCTGTTGCAGGTCCTGAATTTTAACTGAAAGAGGAAGGAAGGGCAAACCACTGGATTTGGGGAAGAACTGGAAAGCATTTGGTCAAAATTATAGTTGTGGGAGAGGCCTCTTAGCAAGGAATGAAAGATAGAGTTTTACCCTCAAAGTTCACTCACTTTCTTCCAGGATCACTGCTTGAAGTTATTTCATAAGGTCTTAACTATCCTAGCTGAGTTCCTCATGGTCCTATTCAAAGTAACTGAATGCTAAGTATGTGTTTTGGTACCCCCCCCGAGTCTGGGGATACACTCCTTACTGTGTAAATGCAGTTAAATAACTGAATTATCCCACAGATTCTCTTTAGATACCAGTGATACACTACTTGTCGATGAAGCATGCCACTGCTGGTAGTTAAAACTTGCAAAATCAGGTTCTAGCTTTCTATCAGCTGTAACGCAGCAGGCAATTTGATATTCAATGACCTTTATTTCTGCTCTTTAGGTTTTTTAAAAATAATCAAAATAAAATGGGGATATTTCAGCGTAAAAAAAATTGTAAGTGCCACAAGAAATTGAATCTGTTTTTTCCCCTTTCCTATTTGTTTTCAATAAAAGCTATATTTGAGAAGGTATGTTGCGTTTGTTTGATGGTAGCTTAAAAATGTTGGAGGAAAATTCTGAGAGTTCCTTGGACTTGTGAGAAGATCAAACCAATCCATACTCCAGGAAATAAAGGCCGACTGCTAACTGGAGGGAAGGATATTAGAGGCAAAGATGAAGGTACTTTGGCCACATAATGAGAAGACAGAAAAGCTTAGAGAAGATAAGGATGCTGGGGAAAAGGAAGGAAAAACGAAGAGGGGCCGGCCAAGGGCAAGATGGATGGATAGATGGATGGAATCCTTGAAGAGACTGGCTTGACCTTGAAGGAGATGAGGATGGCCATGGCCAACAGCGAGCTCTGGCATGGGCTGGTCCATGAGGTCACAAAGATTCAGAAGCGACTGAATAAAAAACAAAGCTTAAAAATGAGCATTAGGATGCTTTTATGGGAATGAGGCTGAATCTAAACTGCCATAGAATCCAATTTCTGAATCCAGATTCTATCTGCTTTGAACTGGATGATATGAGTCTACACTGCCACGGAATCCAATTCAAAACAAATAATCTGGATTCAGAAACTGGATTCTATGGCAGTGTATACAGGGCCTAAGATAAACCTTTGTGGAACCACTGTTTGTAATTTTTGGGCTTGTCCCTTGTAAGCCGCCCCGAGTCCCTTGGGGAGATGGTTGGCGGGGTATAAAAATAAAATTATTATTATTATTACTACTACTACAGAGGAATAGAGGGCCTTAGTAATTAAAAGTGTTGAGAAATATAATAAAATTGAACATAGGAAAGAGGTGAATTAATCACATATATTCCGGATTAAAGCAGTCTGGAACAGGAGAGCCAGCAGAGTGCCGCAGTTTGAGTGTTGGACTATGACCAAAGTTTGAATTCCCACTCAGCCATAGAAACTAACTGGGTGAATATTATGAACAATTAAATATTTTATTCACAATGTTTCATTTTCCCAGGGGTCCTGTGCCCCTAACCCCAACTAATACGCAGGGCTGACTCTAGTATGGCTTCCGCATTTTCTTCAGTGAGCTATGGGGCAGCACATATAACCCAGATTGTATTCTTAGCAACAACATGGGATGGTTTAGGCTGAAAGATGGAGTTTATATCATCAAATGAGCTGCAGGGACAAGTCCCCTGAAGTCAAGGGGCCAGATTTAATGGAGTTAACCAAAGCGGCTTTCTAGTCCTACCATTAAAGCAGGAATGTGTGGCCTTGCAGATGTAAAACTGCAATGCCCATCAATCCAAGGCAATGGAGTCGCAGGTGAAGAATAATAGAATCTTATTATGTTTATACCCCACTTTTTCTCTGCCAAAAGAGACTCAAAGTAGCTAGGAATAAAAACCATAACAATGTGTAAGCCCTAGTGTTGGAAGAGACCCCAAGGGCCATCAGTCCAACCCTCTGACTGGTGGGAATACACAAGCAAGCACTCCCGACAGATGCCTGTCTAACCTCTGTTTGAAAGCCGCCAGAGAAAGAAGGGGTTTCATTCTCAAACATCTCTTCCCATCTAAAGGGACTATAGTCCAACATCTGGAGGGCCATGAATGATCCTGCAGCCAGAGTTGCCAGGTGACAGAAATATGTAGATCCCCACTTCATCGTCTCCCTACTTTCATGTTTAGTCCTTTGAGAGAGAGAGACAAGGAAAAAAAAATTCCACCCATGCTATTTTTATTACTATAATTCCTATATTTATTTGCACCCTGCTTTTGTATCCGGATTGAGACCCAAAGCAGCTCACAACCTGAAAAAGCTCTGCCAAGTCCCCTATGATGCATGCGTATGTCCTTGTGGTGATGGCTCAGTAGAGATGATAAGACATTTAGTGTTATACTGTCCCTTCTACAGTGGCTTCCAGCATACTTTTCTCCACCCAATTCTGCAAAGCTTTCCTGGAAGAACTGATGTGTTTTACATACACTACTTGCTGACAGATCACAATCCAATGGTAACAGTTAAAGTGGCCAGCTTTCGTGCCACAGCACTCACTTATCACCAAAAAATGACATAGACTTAGGGGAATTTTACCTGTATTTAATAATATCTATTTTTTGACATTGACACTGAAATATAACACCGCCTGACCTCTGCAAGTGCAGCATTTTTCCAAATGAAGCAGAGAGTGTTTGAGGACTGGAACATCCGTAGGGAGACCAAGGTATTTGTTTATAAAGCCATTGTCCTCCCAATCCTGTTATATGCCTGCAAAATGTGGACCATCCACAGACATCACACACAACTCCTGGAACAATTCCATCAGCATTGTCTCTGAAAAATCCTGCAAATCTCTTGGGAAGACAGGCGGACAAACATCAGCGTGCTGGAAGAAACGATGGCGATGATCCTCTGCCATTAACTCCGCTGGACTGGCCATGTTGTCCGAATGCCCAATCACCATCTCCCAAAACAGCTACTCTACTCTCGCCCGGAATGTTGGACAGGAAAAGAGATTTAAAGATGGGTTTAAAGCCAAATTCAATTCAAACTGTGGCATAGATACCAACAACTGGGAAGCCCTGGCCCTTGAACACTCTAACTGGAGGTCAGCTGTGACCTGCAATGCTGCAGAATTCAAAGAGGCATGAATGGAGGGCGAAAAGGAGAAATGTGCCAAGAGGCAGGCACGTCAAGCCAACCTTGACCTGGAAACCGATGCCCTCACTGTGGAAGAACATGTGGATCAAGAATAGGGCTCCACAGTCACCCACTGCCAAGACCCTACTCTTGCAAGAACATCCGACTCTGACACAAGTGATTGCTAATTATTCATTTATTTATTGTGTCAGAAGCGAATTGAGAATACTGTTACGATGTATAAAAAACCTCAAAGAAAGTTTAAAACTTGGCATTATATTAAATTTCCTTTGACCAGAAGCTGGCCACTTGGAGTGCCTCTGGTATCGCTGTAAAAATGTCCTCCGTTGTGCATGTGGCAGGGCTCAGACCACATTGTAGTCAGTGGTCTGTGGTTTGCTCTTGTCCATACTCGCATGCCATGGACTCCACTTTGAAGTCCCATTTCTTAGGATTGGCTCTGCATCTCGTGGTGCCAGAGCACAGTCTGTTCAGTGCCTTCCAAGTCGCCCAGTCTTCTGTATTTCTCATTCGGTATCAGCCACATATTGAGGTTATAGCCTGCCACTTTTGGACTCTTACTTGCTGAGGTGTTTCTGCAAGTATCTCGGTAGATTTTAGGAAGCTGTTTCTTGATTTAAGATGTGGGCATGCTGGCTGATATCCGAACAGAGGATGGGCCGAAGATGTGACTGCCTTGGTCCTTTCATTGCTGGCTGCTACTTGCTGACATGTCAGGTGGTGCAATACCGGCTAAACAGTATAATTTCTTCAGTGGTGTAGGGCGTAGACATCCTTTGATAATGCGGCATGTCTCATTAAGAGCCGTGTCCACTGTTTTAACGTGGTGAGATGTATTCCATACTGGGCATGCGTACTCAGCAGCAGAATAGCAAAGTGCAAGGGCAGATGTCTTCACTGTGTCTGATTCTGATTCCCAGGTTGTGCCAGTCAGCTTTCATATTATTTCTAGCACCCACTTTTTGCTTGATAGTCAAGCAGTACTTCTTGTAGGTCAGAGAATGGTCCAGGCCAGGGTAACTCCCAGGTATGCGGGTGTGCTGCAATGCTTCAGTGGGATTCCTTTCCAGGTAATTCTCAGTGTTCGAGATGCTTGTCTGTACTTAAGATGAAAAGCACATGTCCGTGTTTTAGATGGATTAGGAATGGTGAAAACAGAAGAACAGCCTGCCTCAGGGGAGCATGCTTGCTCCACCAATGTTTAACATTTATACATGTGATCAGCCACTGCCAGAAGGGACAGAGAGTTTCATCTATGCTGATGACCATGCCATCACTGCTCAAGCAAAGAGCTTTTGCAATGGTTGAATAGAAGCTCTCCAAAGCTTTAGGTGCTCTTACTGCCTATTACAGGGAAAACCAGCTGATCCCTAATCACTGATGATGTTGATGGAGATTAGGATTAGTTTAGCCACTGACAAACCTATGCGATAAAAAATGGTCTCAAGCGTGGCTGGTGGGGACGAGAGAGGGGGCTTCTCAGTGATCACCCCTGCCTCTGGAAATCCCTCCCCAAAGAAGTAAAAATGACACCCTCCCTCCTCCCCTTTAAAAAACTCTTAAAAACCCATTTTTGTACCTTAGCTTATGGAGAGGAAGAGATTAGAACAACTTAATATATCCTTGCTTGGACACTGGACATTCACTTTATTGCTGTTTGGCTGTTGTATATCATCATCACATTATTCTACATAACATCAGGCATCATTATTATACTTTTAATGCACTTTAATTATTTGTGTGTATGTGTATGATGAGGTTTATGTGTTTTTAACAATTATTTGGTTGTCATTTAAATTTTTAAGTTGACATTGATGCTATTTACTTGTTGTTGTGATTTGTTTTGTTCACTTTGCAACTGAATGTTTGCCATTTTTCGGGGAGAGAGGACAGTTTACAGATAAAGTATTAGTATTATATTATTCTAATCACAGTAAAATAAAAAACAGATTAACATATTAGAGAGATGGGCTAAAACTAACAAAATGAAGTTCAACAGTGACAAATGCAAGATACTGCACGTAGGCAGAAAAAATGAAATGCAAAGATACAGAATGGGGAAGCGTGGCTCGACAGCAGTACATGTGAAAAAGATCTTGGAGTCCTCATGGACAACAAGTTAAACATGAGCCAACAATGTGATGTGGCGGCAAAAAAAGCCAATGGGATTTTGGCCTGTGTCAATAGAATTATAGTGTTGTTTTTACTGATGTATTGTGGGCTCGGCCTCATGTAACCTGCACTGAGTCCCTTGGGGAGATGGTAGCGGGGTATAAATAAACTTTTACTATTATTCTTATTATATCCAGGGAAGTCATGCTACCCATGCTCTATTCTGCCTTGGTTAGACAACACATGGAATATTGTGTCCAATTCTGGGCACCACAATTGAAGAGAGAT